TGACAACTATAAAATACTATAAAAAGTAACAGTGACAGAGAACTGCTGATGGAATTTAACTGTCGCAAATATATAATATGTTAGAATCTACAATCTATGCAGTTATAACGTTAAAGTTAAACTACAGAAAATGCCATGTAACAACAGCAGAGCTCTCTGGGTTGATCTTTGTCTTTTTAAGGGCAGCTGCAGTACCTGCTAAAAGTTGTTGAGTGGTTAAGGGTTAGGATTTAGAATTTGGTGTAACACCTAATATATTTTAACTTTGCCTGATGAAGGTCTGAGGACTGAAACGTTATTACTAAAGTGAGTGCAAGTGATGAACAGTGTGGGCTTGTTTATGTTTTTAGCAGGCATCTTAACCTGTCAAAATAGGAAAAGCACAGGTGTTACTAATGACACTGACGAGTCCCAGTGAGGGTGACAATGAGCGAGCATGCACAGCACCAGGACCCTGAAATCAAAGCAGCTAAATGACATCCAGCCATCGTTAATATCATTACTGACACCTGTGTTTTTCCAACTGTAATATGTCAAAGTGTCTTCTGTGGAGAAAGGCCTGTTGTGTTTTGCTTTCTTTGCAGCTATTGTTAACAGCAGCTTAAATGCTTAACATTAAAGTATCATTAGTGCAACAGATAAGCGGCTAGAAACCAAAGTAACAAACATAGATGAAAAGACAAACTATTCCCGAAAATTTCCTCTCGTATGCAGATGTAAGCTTCTTTGCATCACTGTTCCAGCAAACCAGAGTCTGAGCACACACTTGATGCCTATATCTGTCACAACAATGCATGCACCACTTTAACAGCTTCTCCAGGATTTACCACCAACTCTTTACTTCCCCTGTCTCCTTACTGTAACGCTGTGTCCAGCTGCTGTATCTGATTTTCAGTTTACTAACGTTGCATCAGGTTTCAAAGTGCTAAATCACTGTGAAAGCAATGATTTCGTGTAAATAGCGGAACATGGATCACGTGTTTAATATGTGTTAAGTATAGCCAAGTGGTTTGAGGGAAAAAAAAACACAACTCAGAGGATTTTGAAACGCAAGCGAAACCAGAAACATCTGTTGTGTGACGTGAAAAAAAGGAAAGGGACACCGAGGGGATTAATTCAGCTGTGAGTTGAATGAGAGTGCTATGTGTGCAGAGGACGACAAGCTAACATTAGCAAACAGTTAACTATACTCCAACGTGCTTATATATTGATTTCCAATTAAAACTATGATCAAAATAACCGTATACACCATAAATAAGATGTTAGACATGCCTCCCTCACAGCAAATCATGTGACTGAGGATTCCTTCATAGTCAAGCTTGTTAGGATGACAACCGTTACGTTAGCATGTCAGCGCCGTGTCGGTTAATTTGCGCTAACGTTTGATCAAAATGTCACGTATATTAGACTTCCATAACGCACGCAGAGACTCGTAACTAACATTTGCTGTCTTTGTATCCTTATGTGAAACGCATTTTCAAGGTTGTGGGAGTTGTATCTACACAAAGACTAAGCTAGTCAACCCTGAAATGCTAGCAGGCTAATGCTAACGCAACCGTTGTGTTAATGTTAAGTCGGCATGTTTTAGCTAGGTCAAAAGTAGCGACTAGCTAATACTGGGGCTGCTAACACTATTCATAATAACTAACATTGCGTTAACACAGTCTGGTTGACATTCATTATATAACTCGCTACTTTAGCGAACTTAACACAGTTGATAGGCAGCGCTAGCTAGCATTAGCTCGCTAACCCCCACCATCAACCATTTTACGTACCATGTACCATGTTCCCAGGATGATGGTCCCCGTCCGGACGTGGCAACATCCGCAACACCTGGTGGTGTACAATCTGTCTCGACTGGGCTTAAAATGATGCATGTCCTCCACGAACGTAGGAAGAAACATCAGGAGAGCTGGTCGCGCAGGAGAAAAATCTTCTCGGCATCGACAGTCAGCGAACGACCGCGGAGGAACGCCCACCACTTCCCTGACGACCTGCACGACACCGCGGATAAAAACAAACGCTCTGACGGACAGGAAGAGGCGGGGACCGATGACTTTGACTGACAGGAGAATCAACCAATGGGCGTGGAGGAATACCAAGCACAGCCAATAGGCTTCAGGCTATGTTTAAGATAAGATTTACTTTATTGATCCCCCAAGGGGTAAATTCAAGTATCACAGCAGCACAAGACAAAATTAAAGGACATTAAATAGAATAAGATTAAAGAGAAAAAATAAAAATTAAATATAATAATAGATAAAAGATAAAATAAAATTACTACATCAGATGAATAAAGTGACTAAAAATGGCAGACAAAGCATTGAATGAAATAAAGTGACAAGGGAAGGTAATGAAAATTTCTTAATAAAATAAAATATGTAGCTTGACTAAAAGGTCCACTTATTAGCTGTTCATATAACAAGAAAGGCTGGATTACCAACCAGGAAAAGCAGTCAGGTTACAAGATCTTCAGCGGGCTACATGTTCACAATGGGGCAATTAGTTTGTAGTGATTTAAGTATTTGCAAATTTGTTTGCACCACTCCTACTGCAACACCAACTAAAACATTGCTTACGGTTTTATTGTTTCAGTTTATGTTGTGCTTACATGGTGCATTTTACCACATAACTTAGTACTACCCACTTGGCAGCAGGCCAAGCAAAGCACCCCAGACATCCCTTTCCCCAGCTACGCTTTCCAGCTCCTCCTGGGGGACCCCAAGGTGTTCCCAGGCCAGATGAGATATGTTATCCCTCCAGTGTGTTCTGGGTCTGCCCCGGGGCCTCCTACCAGTGGGACATGCCTGAAACACCTCTAACGGGAGGCGCCTGGGAGGCATCCTGATTAGATGCCCGAACCACCTCAGAGGACCCCTTTCGACGCCAAGGAGCAGCAGCTCTACTCAGAGCTCCCGCCGGATGTCCAAGCTCCTTACCCTGTCTCCAAGGCTGAGCCCAGCCACCCCACGGGGGAAATTCATTTTGGCAGCTTGTATCCACGATCTCATTCTTTCAGTCACTACCTAAAGCTCATGACCATAGGTGAGGGTTGGGACAGCGCAGCCCCTGCATCACCGCAGACACTGCACCAAACTGCATATCCCTTTCATGCTCCATTTTACCCTCACTCATAAACACTCATGAATTCCCAGTGGTACTTGAACTCCTTCGCTTGAGGCAGTAACTCTCTCCCAACCTGGAGGGGTCAACCCACCGTTTTCCGGCAAAGAACAATGGCCTTAAAGGTGCTGACTCTCATCCCAACTGCTTTACACTTGGCTGCAAATGGTCCCAGTGCATGCTGGACGTCACGGTGTGATGAAGCCAACAAAACCATGTCACCTGAAAAAAGCAGATATGCAATTCTGAGGTCCCCACACCTCAGAACATCTCTGATCATAAACATTCTCCACATGGCAGCATGGCAGTCAACAGATGACCTGTGATGTCAGACCAATTTCTGAAAAAATGCTGCAATACTTAGTCACTTTACTGTACTATATATTATGGTACAACACAAAAAGTGCAATAGCATGTGCATAATATCTTCTCGTTGTCATACTTGTGTTTAAACTGACCATATATACTGTATATACCCTCCACATATGCTCATAAAACATGAAAAAGACAGGATTAACATGTTATAAAGCTTATTTATTAACAATTACGGAATACAAAAATAGTAATTGTCATTTAATGGCACAAATCTAGACGAGATAATGCGTGTCACATGATAGCAGCCTATCAGCATAACGTAATCATTGTCATTTTTATTTAATACAGGATTTTAGAAACACTGGGGTCATGTATTTTCAATGCAGCATTGAAATGCCCTGTTACACCTGGGTGTAACAAAGGACAGATGTTCACAGCAGACATTTTGACTTGTCATAGTAGGAAAAGCACATGTTTGACATTGACAATGAATCTCCCTTTTCAAGTGTCCAAGTGAGCCACGACAGTGTGAAAACACCAGGACCCTGAAACTGAAGCAGCTGGATGAAATTCAGCCTTCGTTACTCATTATTTACACCTGTGCTTTTCTTACTGTGACATGTCAAGTGTCTTCCATGAAAAACGGCTATCAAGAATTTTTTGTGTAAAACAGCTCTTGTAAAGTGACTCTAGGTCTTTTTTTTCATTTAGATGCTACATATATGCACAAAAGTAAAGACAGCTGCCACTTTAAAACATTAACACAGCAAAGTGTACACCATCAATAATTTATCACATATTACATCTGTTACCATCTTCTTTCAATCATGTCAAATAAAATTATATACACCTGCTGAAGCCAGACATACATTTTAAAATAAAAGTCATTTAGTCACTGATCACTATCTTGGCAGACTACACCTGATTTCCACAAAAAATTAAACAGTACAAAAATATATATCTATTAAAATGCAGAGGATGTGACCTCAGTGTTACCTTCTACAGCCCTGTGAACGACAATGCTCAACAATCTCAAATCTTTATAAACAGTGAATAAATAAATTATGAGCAACTGCAGACATTTGAATTAGGCACGAGAATAAAGTGGGATTTATACTTGTGCATCAAATTGACGCCGTACCTGCGCCGTAGCCTGTGCCGTAGCCTGCCCAGAAATGTAACTACATTTCGCGGCAACACAGACCTCCTGTCTATTTTTGTAAGCTGAAACCATTTCCCTCAGTGGAAACAAAGCTTTTGTTTAATTTAATTTCAGATAAGAAACAATAAATTGTGAAGACAATAAAGCCTCCACAAAAATGGCATTTTAAATGTAGTGTGTGATTTATGCTGGCTTCATATGAGCTGAGGAAATCTCTGTTAGTGGCTAGGCTAATTTATACAATGTAAAATACCATAGGCTTGTGCTAATAACGTTAGCATGTTGTATTTGTTTGGAAAACATGTTTAGTATAAGACAGTTGTTTTGTCGCTGCACCTTGTGAGTTGTAATGGAGCCAAATTTTGTAACGTTACCTTTGTTAAATGTTGCTGTTGTCCCTGGCTTCATATGAGTAGAGGAAAAGTCGCTAGACACTAAGCTAATTTATACAATGCAAAATGCCATAGGCTTGTGCTAAAAACATTAGCATGTTGTATTTGTGGGGAAAATGTGTCCAGAAATGTGCTTAGTCTGTGAATCCTGCGAGTTATAGTGAAGTACACAAATTGCCGCCAACGTGTTTTGGAGGTGTAACTACAGGGTGACACAAACGCCACCGCGCAAGTGTAAACGCTACGGCATAGGCTCTGCATAGAGCTGACGCACAAGTATAAATCCAGCGTAAGTGTAATTTCTACAACGGCCTGGCAGCATCACCTTAGAAAAGTGGTTCCCAACTGGTCCAGATTTCACCTTAGTCATTAGTTAAACGTCCACACAGTTAAATATATCCAGTGTCATACTTGTGTTGTGTGTCATCGAGCTAGTTTGCTGTCTCTTGTCATGTAGCTCTCCCTTAGTCACTCACTCTACAGCAGGAAATGGCGCTTTGAAATAAAAGCTCTGTGCCAGAAATTCACTGTACTTCAATATAAAGTGTGTTCATGAGTCACTTGAGGTGTATTCAGAATGGACCCGCGACCCACTTTTGGACCGCAACCCACCAGTTGGGAACCACTGCCTTACAACACAAACATTGGTGCATAATTAAACAACAACTCCTTCCCTGTTGGATCTGTGATAATCTTCGTGTGAAGCCCTCTGCTTGCCCAGAACATATCCTCCATTATCTTTCTTCTGCCACGTGTAGATTAATAGTGCTGCCAGTGCAACAGCAAGTGCCACCCCTATTACACCTCCTGCAATAACAGCTGTAAACACAGATGACTGAGTTAGAACACAAACATACAGTGTATCACTCTGTTAAAATCAGTGCATCAAACTGCAAAGTACCGGCAAAGATTTCTTTGTTGTCCATGAAACTCTTGCTGTTTTCAAAAACAATAAATGATCCGCTGTCTCTGAGCGTGTTGTCAAAGTTCTGGGCAGAAGAATGCTGAAGACAAAAGTAGAAACAGTTGCACAACTTTATTTCCTGCTCTGCCATTACCACATTATAAGATGAAGAAACAGTGAGACTAATGAGAACAACGTACACGGAGAGTGTTCTTGTTTCCACCTCCTGCTTTTACTGCAGAAATTCTGACGTCTTTGCTGCAGGTTTGATCCTTTATGGTTTTTGCTTCACCTGGAGACACAGAGAGCATAAAAATATATTGTTTATGTTATGAATGAATGAATGATTATATTGCGAACCAAAAAAACAAAAACCATACTAAAAAACAAACAAGACAAAGATAGCACTGTCCAAAAAGGAGTTGGCAGAAGTTAAACTTATATGTCTCTACCCCTTTCTTATGTTTCCTCTTTTAACTCATATATAATTTCAACAAATTCCCAAATGTATTTACTAATAATATACATCTATCCCCAGTCTATTTACCACCCAATTAAATAAATAAGTAATAAACCCAGTTTATTTACAATCCCAGTACCACCATGTGTTACAAAATAAATATGTACTCCCCTAACACAACCTTCCCTCATCTACAGTACAGACAAACAAAAAAGTTTGGACACACCTTCTCATTCAATGCGTTTTCTTTATTTTCATGACTATTTACATTGTAGATTCTCACTGAAGGCATCAAAACTATGAATGAACACATGTGGAGTTATGTACTTAACAAAAAAAGGTGAAATAACTGAAAACATGTTTTATATTCTAATTTCTTCAAAATAGCCACCCTTTGCTCTGATTACTGCTTTGCACACTCTTGGCATTCTCTCCATGAGCTTCAAGAGGTAGTCACCTGAAATGGTTTTCCAACAGTCTTGAAGGAGTTCCCAGAGGTGTTTAGCACTTGTTGGCCGCTTTGCCTTCACTCTGCGGTCCAGCTCACCCCAAACCATCTGGATTGGGTTCAGGTCCGGTGACTGTGGAGGCCAGGTCATCTGCCGCAGCACTCCATCACTCTCCTTCTTGGTCAAATAGCCCTTACACAGCCTGGAGGTGTGTTTGGGGTCATTGTCCTGTTGAAAAATAAATGATCGTCCAACTAAACGCAAACCGGATGGGATGGCATGTCGCTGCAGGATGCTGTGGTAGCCATGCTGGTTCAGTGTGCCTTCAATTTTGAATAAATCCCCAACAGTGTCACCAGCAAAACACCCCCACACCATCACACCTCCTCCTCCATGCTTCACAGTGGGAACCAGGCATGTGGAATCCATCCGTTCAACTTTTCTGCGTCTCACAAAGACACGGTGGTTGGAATCAAAGATCTCAAATTTGGACTCATCAGACCAAAGCACAGATTTCGACTGGTCTAATGTCCATTCCTTGTGTTTCTTGGCCCAAACAAATCTCTTCTGCTTGTTGCCTCTCCTTAGCAGTGGTTTCCTAGCAGCTATTTGACCATGAAGGCCTGATTCGCGCAGTCTCCTCTTAACAGTTGTTCTAGAGATGGGTCTGCTGCTAGAACTCTGTGTGGCATTCATCTGGTCTCTGATCTGAGCTGCTGTTAACTTGCCATTTCTGAGGCTGGTGACTCAGATGAACTTATCCTCAGAAGCAGAGGTGACTCTTGGTCTTCCTTTCCTGGGTCGGTCCTCATGTGTGCCAGTTTCGTTGTAGCGCTTGATGGTTTTTGCGACTCCACTTGGGGACACATTTAAAGTTTTTGCAATTTTCCGGACTGACTGACCTTCATTTCTTAAAGTAATGATGGCCACTCGTTTTTCTTTAGTTAGCTGATTGGTTCTTGCCATAATATGAATTTTAACAGTTGTCCAATAGGGCTGTCGGCTGTGTATTAACCTGACTTCTGCACAACACAACTGATGGTCCCAACCCCATTGATAAAGCAAGAAATTCCACTAATTAACCCTGATAAGGCACACCTGTGAAGTGGAAACCATTTCAGGTGACTACCTCTTGAAGCTCATAGAGAGAATGCCAAGAGTGTGCAAAGCAGTAATCAGAGCAAAGGGTGGCTATTTTGAAGAAACTAGAATATAAAACATGTTTTCAGTTATTTCACCTTTTTTTGTTAAGTACATAACTCCACATGTGTTCATTCATAGTTTTGATGCCTTCAGTGAGAATCTACAATGTAAATAGTCATGAAAATAAAGAAAACGCATTGAATGAGAAGGTGTGTCCAAACTTTTGGCCTGTACTGTATATATCTGCCAAAAATATCTTTTTGGTATATATTTTTTAAAATTGATTTGAACTGAAATATACAGACTCTTCTTAGTTGTACGATCACATAGTTTTTTTTTTTTTAAATTCTCCTCTTAAATTATAACAAATAAAAATGACATGAACAACAGCATTTTATAGTGTGTGTGGTACTAAGCAGAGACGTGACCTGGAGTCTCATTTATAAAACAATGTGTGGGATCCATACTAAAATGTACGTATGAACAAAATTCAAAAATAGTGCACATCAAAAAATATTCGACAGTTTCTACAATCAGGCTTCCACCTCACCATCTCCAAAATGTTTGTGTGCATGGGTCAAAGTTTCTCCCATCAAGTTTGTTTTCATACATCACAACGTTTGCGTTGGAATTGGCATAAGCCTCTCTCAGGCCTCGTTTTGTGCGTACACAATGTTAATAACAATAATAATAATGATACTAAAAACTTCAGTTATATAGCACCTTTCAAAACACAGTTACAAAGTACTTTACAAGACAGAATAAAAGACAAAGTAAAGTAGCTGCCTCAGTTGAAAACGCCGCGCTTAAGTGTTCTCTTGAGTGGCGAAAATGAGAGGATGTGCCCTATCAGCTGCCCTCTTGAATCATGAAAACGAGCAGATGTGCCCTTTTGGCTGCCCTCTTGATTAACAAAAATGAGAGGATGTGCCCTTTTGGCTGCCCTCTTGAATGATCAAAACAAGACAATGTGCCCTATTGGATGAAAACGAGCGGATGTGCCCTTTTGGCTGCCCTCTTGTCCCCATGTCATGCAGTAGGTGCCCTTTTTTCCTTTTCACCCCGGTCCTTCAAACATCCTGAGTCCGTCACTGCAAGGAAGTCTCCATCATCTTTGTGAATTAATCTAGACCTCAGAACAACAAGAAAAGATGCATCTGATGACCTCAGGGTGTGAGAACGAACATGGGGCAATAAAAGATGTTATATAACTTGGAGCAAGGTCTCTCAGGGCTGTAAGTTAGCAATCAAATCTAAAAATCAATTCTAAGAGCAACAGGTAACCAGTGTAGGGAAGCCAGGCTAGGTGTGATGTGGGCATGTTTTCTAGTGTAAGATAAATTATATATGAGACCCCAGGTTATTGTTTTGCAAGTCACAAGTAACTGTCAAGTTTTTGCACTCAAGTCCCAAGTCCTAAACTTTGAGTTTCCAGTCTCCAACAAGTCGCAAAGCACTCTTTACCAAATGGAAAGCCGTTTTAACACCGGAGTAATAACATTAGCAAAGTATAAGCTCACTATGTTAGTATTACCCTTGACTTACTGTTCCCTGTGCCACTTTAAAAGTCAAATGAAGATGGAAACTGTTGAGTCTGTCTCTGTTTGTAAAGTTCAACCCACACCTTGTGCATACCGCAAATTGTTTTTGTTGACCACAGTTTAGCTTTTAATCAAGAACTTCATCATCTATCATTTTTCAAACTGTCATTTAGTAACGCAACTCTAGTTCATCACAGTTCTCTCCTGCAACTTAATTTAATGTGGTTGGATTGGTTCATACAAAGCACATCTGGGGAATTATAATATGTGTCAACTTCCTGGGAATGAACAGTAATAACGTCAGCTGATTGAGGAAGTGACAGGAAATAAATTGATTCTTGGCACACCTTTTAAATAACATGGGTTTTTTTTTATCTTTGGGCTTGGCTCCTGTGCAACTGAAGTCATGAGTCCTTGGTGTTAAAGTCCAAGCTGAGTTGCAAGTCTTTTTTATTTTGTCAGGTCAAATCTAAAGGAAATTTGGTGAGTCAAGTCTGACTAAAGGCCACACCTCCGGTACTCTGCCTTACCTTGTTCCGACCAGTCCCCTGAACCGGAGCCAGAGCCCTCCAGGTCATATCCTGATCCCTCCAAGTCCTCAGGAGGGGAATGAAGCTAATTTCATGGAGAGAAAAAGACAAGGATATTTAAAAGATGCAGACCACTGATGAAAAACAGCACAATACTGTTTCCTGTCTTATTGTCAGACATATAAGAACAGTCAAGAGGTGAAGGGAGCCTGTAAAGGTACCTTCCTCTGCAGGACATGAATCACGTCTCAGATACAAAGTCCCAGTGAAGTAAGACAAGACACTGGCTGACAAACCCACAATTGTGATCACCAATAAAGTGTAATGACTAGAGAATATAGCTTGGAATAAACAGTAAAGTCACTCCACCCTTTTAGCGAAGCAGTAAAAGAATGCTGAACCTTTATGTTTGTTTCTTCCCTAACAGCTCCAGTGAATACAGCAGCTCAACATGACGTTAAGAAGCTCTTACAAACATTTCCATTCAAGCAAACAATCCATTGAAATAATATTTTCCTAACCAACTCGACTGGATATTCACAAGCTAAACTCATTGATGGGGTCTAAATAGCCTGCATCCATTGAAACCAACAGGAGTATACGTGCTATCCTTAATGAAAAAACAACTATAAATGTTTTACAGCTTTAAAACCTACAGGGGGTGATTAAGTGATACTGAGATTGGGCGGAGAGTGGTGGAGGAACAGAAATGTTTTTACTGCTAATGACTCAAGCCTTAAGGCTCTGTGAGCATAAAACAATTTCAAGAGTCATGCTGTGAAAACCCTGACAGGAGATAAAATGCCCCTGAGGTGCTTCCTGTTTACTGCTGGAAACACTCACCAGGCAGCACTAATGCTTAAAGGGATGTGGTAAACCTGGTGTTTGACTCGACGTTGATCTCAAGGGACGAAGACAAAGTAGATTTAACAGGTGTCAAACAAAGTGTTGAGTAATTTGACACACAGAGCATAACTTTTGTACACGTCACCAAATATGCTACTTTTTTTGAGAAATGCCTCTAATTGGTTTGTTGCTCCCATCCTTTGCATACCAAGGATGTTTTCACATATAGTCCTTTTTAAACAAACTGAACTCAGTCCTCTTAAAGTGCACCAAAAAGTGGACCAACAGAAAAGGGGCTTTTTGTGGTCACATTGTCAGTTCTTTAGAAAGAAGACTCTCATTCTGGTCAACTTCGGCTCTGATGGAGCCTCAGTCCTCTTCCTGTTCACACTATAGCCTATAGAACATATATTGACATAGTTTATTGTTTTTACTTTGACGTGGCACTGCAGTGTGGTTACGAAGCCCCTTGCTTTCAGATGAACTTAAAACTGGAGGAAACCCTTAGCGTGTCTGTGCTGTAGACTGTCACTGTTTGATGTATTCTACAGTCCACATCTGGGGACGTGCAGCATCTTCCGTGGACCAAACTACTCCTCGTCCTGCGTCCTTGCAAGCGTTACACGCTGACATGGTTTTGTTGGATTTTTCAAGTGTCCCAGTGCAGTAGCATGTGATTTAGAGGGCTAAATACAACGGCAAAGAGCAAACCGAATCTGGAGCGCTTCGTGTTCACAACGCACAGGTTAAGTGAACTGCACTGTGGACTTGAAGCGAACCGAACTTCAGCAGCCTGAGTTCTCTTGCAGTGTTCACATATGCACAGAAAATGCTGAGTCACCGCTCTGAGTCTGTTTAGAGGGCTGAAAAGGACCAAGTGTGAAAACACCCGAAAGCACCTGTATTATTCACGCAATAATACAATACATTGCATGACAATTTTTGTTGGTATAAAGGGCTGATTGCAAGTGGACAACCAATTAAAAAAAAAAGATACAGTATATATATACTTGCAGGTACAAAGAACATTGTATGTTTACAGCAGTTTACACAGCATGACTTGAGACCAGCTTTCCTCATTATCCTTTTTTAAAAGGTGTGTACCCTGTAAAGTTTTCTTCAACTATTTTACATTGTGAAGAAGGGATGTATAACATAATGTATACATTATCAAACTGGGAGACATTCCAGTACATTATTTTTAAGTTGCTTAGCAGACCAGGCATCCTTTAAGGGATCTATTAATCTGTCATTTCCTTTCATGTTTTGGGGCTGCCCCTCCATTAGCCTGTACTGGTTTGAGCTAAAGAAAAGTATGGAAAAAATACTGAGGGTAAAATTTCCATTTGCATTTGAGATATTATATTTAGGGATAGATTTTGAGAAAACCGGACTGAGTACATGTCGCCAAGCAGGTCGGACTTCTTTTGAGAGACTGTGTAAACTGAAGAATACCTTGGTTCATTGCCAGAGATGTTTGAAATATTCTATAACTTGTTTGCAAGTGTTGAGCGTGAGGGGAGTAGGAAAAGGACAGAGATACATTTTCATTTTTATTTATTTTATTTATTTATTTTGTATGTATTGATTCAGTTTTATTAGCTCATTTTTACTTATTTTAGTATTTTTTTGTTGCCTTTTTTCCTTTGTTTCCGTTTCTTTCTTTGCTTTTTGATCTAAAATGGTGGAAGAGGTATAGACAGTGGAACATGTGACACAGAAGAACAAATAAGCGAGGATATGCCCATGTGGATGTAAGGGATTAAAGTATAGTATAGTACAGTACCCTTTATTTTACTATTGTGGTTGATAATTTGTTTTTGTTTTGATATAAACAAAAAGTGTAAATGAGACAGAAAAGTGTCTGATAAGAAGCAAGTCCTTTGCCCCAGTAAAAAGAGAATTAAAAATAAAAACAATAATTATTTGTCAATTCCAAACAGGGTGTGACGTGGTCCAGTTTGACAGTAACTTCCTCATTACAGGGCACTCTGTCAGTGATTTGCATCCTGGCTCCTGCACAATCTCCAGCACTTGGGAGCCTCTCCTGTAGTGTGTGTTCTCCACATATATGAATTAGTGCACTTCCATTGAAAGCTGCAATAACTTTACCATTCCTACCTTGAAATCGCCCATTTATTTTTAAGGTACTCTGTCAAATGGGATTTATTGCATGGCAGTTTAACATCAACGGAGGCAACTTTCATGCACAGTAAATACTTTTACTTTTGTGCATTTTCCCAATAATACTTCTGTTCTTTTTCTTACCATGTGAAATGCAGGACTTTTACTTGTCCATTGGAAATACTGTACTGTCTACTCTATGATTATTTGACAGCTGTAGTTACCTGTTACTTTGTGGACTGTAATTGTACACGCAATATGATAGATATGATGCACTGTAATAGATTAAACTATGCAACTGCCTTTTAATTTATAATATGGATATAATGGATAATAAAGTCAAATGCTGCTCATACATAAATGCATCAGTAATAATACAATGACACAATAATAAATAAAGTAAGAACAGGGAGATTCTAGTTGATGAGTACTTCTACTTTTGATACTTTAAGTACACTGAACTTGTAATATTTTCACTGGTATAATTTAGTCTAAGAACAATTTTGAATGCAGGACATTTTTAAATTGTGATAGAGTATTTTTACATGGTAGTGCTACTTTTCGTTAAGTAACTTAAGTACTTTTCCCACCATTGGAAATACTGTACTTTTTACTCTGCGATCATTTGACAGCTGTAGTTACTGGTTAATTTGTGGATTATAATTTTACACACAATGTGATAAATTTAAAATTATGGTGCACTTTTATAGATGAACTTCTATACAATTTGTTACATAATTTGATAGTAAATTCAAATGCTGCATCAGTAATAACACAATGACACACACAATAATAAATAAAGTAATAACAGGGACTTTCTGCCAGATGAGTACTTCTACTTTTGATACTTCAAGTACATCCAACTGGAACTACTGTCATTGATATACTTTAATCTAAGAACAATTCTGAATTTATATATTTATACTTTGTCATTTCTACTTCAAATACCATCACCAGAGCCAGCAGGGCTGTAATGAAAGACATTTAATGGTGAAAATATCTGTATTCAATTCATTTTCTGCCCTGTAAATATAGATAATTCCCACTAAGCCCCATATGTCATATGGTAAGAGGTGTAAAATCCACAAAATGGGAAGTGTGATGTTCTCTGCTCAAACACTGACTTTGGTTACTATTATTAATAATATCTCAAATTCTCTGCGTACAGCGACCTATTTTATCTGGAACTGAGTTTAAGGACGGAAATAATCCCTGTGACACCAACACGTTTTTAATAGGTGTTAAAATGACATTATTGGAATAAAATTGACATGAATAAACAAACAAATTCGACTAGTATAAAATAAATTTCAGTAACGTGTACATAGAACATTAAATTAAAATTAATTTAATCAAAAATGTAACTATTTTAATTCAACTGAACCCTTAGAAAACAATAAGCTCATGAAACAAACACCTTGGTACAGTGATAACCACAGACTAACTTCAGGAAGTGAGAAAGGTGAGCACGAGACTGACGTAACGTCTGTTGTTAAAAAAGTGTCTTACAGGTTTAAAAGAACAACTTACCGACATATGTACGGGATGTATTAACCCCAGGGTTAATAATAACGAGGCTGTCAGAGGTATCCTCATCTTTCAGTGGAGCTGCTGTCCAGTTTACTTGCTCCTCTTCCTCCTCTCAGGTCTTCGGCAGGTGTTTCGATTGAACTTCGAGCCTCTGCCGGGCTGAAGCCCCGCCCACTAATACAGCACGTTCAGCTGTGAACTTCAGATGCTGGCACGTGCTCACACCTATGCCACAAACCAATGGGTGACGTCACGGTGGGTACGTGCATTATACTTACAGTCTATGGTTTACACAGGGCGCCTGAACACAGCACTTTCTTGTAGCCAAATTTTATCCAACAAAGTAATGATAAATAAATAAAAAAAATAAAATAAAATAAAAAATAAATAAATAAAATAAAAGAAAAATGATGAAGCAGGTACACAATTAATTCAAAATAAATATTTAAATAAATAACTGATGATAAAATAAAATCAAAAAGAGTTATTTGAAACACCTGGACCCATCATCAGTGATGAACCCAGGGTCATAGGGTGTTGCAGGTCTCAGGTCATCAGACACCCTCACTTGGGCGACCCAGCCGGGTGTTATCAGTCGCCGCCATGTGTCCAAGCAGCACGCTACACCATGGATCTGCCCTCTTGATCCACAGCCACCTTGAGGCTGAGACAGATGGCCCTGGGAAACCCATGCAGCAAGCCTCAACTGGCTCACAGCAGGCCCTCCAACCACCCACCCTCTCTACAGGCCTCTGAAAGCGTAAGGTATTTGGTCTTCTTTCGCTCATGGGCTTCCTCCATCTTCTCAGGGGGCTGTCAGTTTAGACGTGTATTTAGCCCTGTCCACTTGTGATCAGATCACTCAAAACCCAATATTAACACCAGGTCTAAACAGGATCATTGATGCACCCATGAAGGCCAAGGTGTCAGGTTCCAGGTTGTTGAAGTTGAACAGTTTCAGCTTCTTTACGTTGACTCCCTGTTTGTTTCAGGATTGAGTTTGAAATCTTATTGATTACTTTTCATGCTCTTCATGGCTCCAGATTACATTTCAGACCTGATCGTCCCTTATGAACCTTTACGTAGTTTCAGATCCTCAGGCAGAGGTCGTCTGCCTTGAAACTTTGACCAGTTATGCAATCGCTGTTTTTATATTTTTCTTTAATGCATGATTGTTATTTAAACAGGGGAGGTGCCTTCATAATTCAAAATATAAAAATAACACACTCCAAGAATTATAATGAGGTGCTGATCACTGGCAGTTGACTTGATTGTAGAAAACAAGTGTCGCACACTCTGGCTCCATAAGTGTGTCTTATCTTGAAGACATTTCGGCCTTTGGACCTTCTTTGTTGATCTTGAAGAAGGCCCAAAGGTCGAAACGTCATCAAAACTAAAAAAAAAGCGTTTGGAGCCAGAGTGCGACACCTGTTTTCTATAATCGAGGTACTTTCATAAGCTATTTTTGGCTTCCAACCTCTCCTGCACAATGTTTAAACTCTATAAATCCTTACTGTATTCTCTTTACACATGTATGTGTAGGAGATAAAATGAGTTTGACACCCCTGGTTTAGAGGAATAAACCTTTGCGCCAGTTCAAAGATGTAAAGCGACCCTTTCCTCATCTTGGACACAGACTACTGTTAGGAGAAACTCAAACTTCTGGAAATAAAAATTTCATTTTCTGTAACTGCTTATCTTTTTTGGGTCACAGGAGGGCTGGGCTATTGGGTGAGAGGCAGGGTACACCCTGGACAGGTCGCCAGACTATCACAGGGCTGACACATAGAGACAGACAACCATTCACACTCACATTCACACCTACGGACAATTTAGAGTCACCAATTAACCTGCATGTCTTTGGACTGTGGGAGGAAGCTGGAGCACCTGGAGAAAACCCATACTGACATGGGAAGAACATGCAACTCCGCACAGAGGGGCGACGACAATGCAAATCACCGCCTAAAAAACAGCTCAACACACCTGAGAAAAACCAAAACAATGCTGGTCAAATGTTAGAAGAACAGTTTAATCATACATAGTCACAATTCTGCTTCCAAAAATGAGTTTGTTTTCTTCATCTAACATCTGGAAATGTACATAAGGCCACCTGAAAATGTACATGACTTTGACAGTGTGACAAAACTCATATGTTCATATTTATATAATTGACAATATTTTACATTGCTTTTGCTTACAAGGTAGAAGCTGTTCCAAAATACAGCACTCTTCTGTACAAAAATAATTCTTGTCATATCCTGTGAAGTTTCCATGGTAGCAGAGAGGACTAAATGCAGCCTCAGTTTTTAGTAGAGTGTGTGTTTTTTTTTTATCCTTCTTCTTTTTAAACTGTCACTTCAGAAAGACTATCAACAGTGGATGTTACAGCTCCAGTACAAATAGAGGCTGGCCTTTCCCATAACAGATTAAAAACAAACAAAAAAAAAACATGCCAGATTGTGAAGCTGTAAAGTTTTTTTTTCCTTTAAAATAACACTTGATCAAATAAAACTGTATACATTATATTCAAGGGGAAAGGAGTGATGAATATACACACATCAAAATGCACATTTTTGCCTTTTTCTCCCCAAAAAGTGTAAAAGACATCCCATTTACAGCATAAACGTTTACAAATGTACAACTGTACAGACGAAATAAAAGCATCACTACAAATTTTTAGAGCAAGGCCTGTCAAACACCACGACTAGACGTATTTTTTTCTCAATTAAACTAATAATCTTACACTTATTAACTGCACATATACTACATGTATTCTACAATTATTCATATGAAGCAAAGAAGCCGTCACTACGAGCATTACAGGTGAATTGTATAGCTTTTGATGGCCCCACCGGCCTCCACCAATGCACTTGCATACCCAACCAAATGGAAAATAAAGTTTTAAAAAACAAAAACAGAACCATTAAAAAAAAAAAAGGTTCCTTCAACATCCCTTTCTTATCCCACTACTTCTAGCTCATTTCACCTCAGATGTACAAAACCGGGATAAGCTCCACTTCACGACACGTTTGCTTTTTTTTTTTTTTTTTGGGACTACTGACCTTCAGGCGGTGGGGGTCCCATCAAGCCCCCCGAACCCAAAAGCAACAATTTTACTCGTACATAAAGATGCTATACGTCACTAAACTACTTCTACGCAAGAGATGATTATTCAGTACATAAAGATACCGTCTCTAGGGCAGTGTTCATCTCAAAGTACAAGACAGATAAGATGTTACACGAAAACATGATAAAGAAAAAAATCATTCCAAGGATTAAAACCTGTCACAGCATGCCAACACATAACCCCGCTCCCACCCCACTATCCCCACGAAAAAAAACTCCCCCCCTCCCCACTACGGTCATTTCATGTTAAGATTATACCAGGTTACACGCCCACTGTACAACCAAACCTCATGCTCTGCTTCTATAAGTTAATGGTAGCTTCTTTTTTCTTTTTTAAATCTTGCATAACCCCCCCCGAGTGATCACCTGGATGAGGGACAGACGGCTCAAATGGGGCTCAGAGGATGCAGCAGCTCAGGTTGGTCAGTCTGTCATGTTTTTAGTACCGAAACTGTTCAATTATATCAGGCAGACGACAAGCTGCTGGGGTAAACACACACGCCCCCCCCCCCCCTCGCAATTAGCCTGGAAAAAGGAGGCGAGAATAATAAGCCACCGCTGGAAAAACACCACCCTACACTAAAGCACCAATCCCCAAAGCCGAGCTCGCAAACGGGTCGTGAGGACCTTTGGGTGACTGTGGCACAGGACGCATAGTACTCACCTGTGGACGGAGGGGTGCGTATCCATCCGTACTATGCGGTGCTATTTGAAAACTAATCCATCAGCTGCTTTGGCATGGGAAAACATTTTTAAACTGTGCATGGGATAATAATAATAATAATAATAATAATAATAATAATAATAATATACAAATATTATATTCAATTGCCTGGACTTAATTAGAACAGCTGACATAATAAGTCTGGTTACAAAAACAAATGGAATTGTTTCTTTTAAAAGGATCACTCAGTTTAGCCTTAGAAAATCACTTGCTGGTGTTAAATTGTAGGAATTGTAAATTTCAGCAAATGTGTATAAGTTGTTTTTTTTTCTACAGAGAATTTACAAGGTAAAAAACTAAATGTACAAGATAATATGAAAACCAGTCAAATACATCAATTACATCATTAACAATGGGTTTGTGCTTTACCCAGGAAAGAAAACAAAAACGAAACGGCCTGCTGACTGTGCGTCCCCAGGGGGTGGGGGCGGGGGGGCCACGCTGGGGACCTGCACCAGGGGTGGCAGAGTGGCAGGGGTCAGTTGTCACAGCGTTCTTAGGTGAAGTTGTCTTTTTCTTTTCTCTTTTTTTTGGTAATTCCCCCCAAAAATGGGATATCAGAGGGTGTCAAAAGGCTAACCCCTATGGCTAAGGAGCATCTCTCACAGAACAGGGATTGAGGGGGTGAGGGGGGGTTTGGGGCTCCTACTCCTCTCCACTTCTCCAGGGGACTCACGGTGTTGATGTGACTACATGAGGCCGTTCGTGGGGCCGCCGATGGGACCCAGTTCAGATCCGCTCTTCATGTAGTACTTTTCCAGCTTGGCAAGAATGTGCTTCCCATAGGTGTACTTGCGTAAAGTGGCGATGTGAGGCCGGATCTGAGGAAGGAGAGACGGCAGAGGTCAGCGAAGTCATTCAAATGACGACAATTTTGATAATTAAAGTCATTTTTTGCAACAAAAATCCAAAGATTCACTGATTCCAGCTTCTAAAATGTGTTTTAGTTTTTTCAGTCTTCTTTGATGGTAAATTAAATTTATTTATTTTTTTGTTGGCAAAATAACCCCAAGATATTTGAACACCTTGGGCTCTCAAATGATGGACATTTCTCAACTTTTCTTACATTTTGTGTCCAATGTTGGCAAAATAATTGATGAAAAGGCAATTTCTTGGTTGCAGCTCTAGCTCAAAGTGAATTTCATCTAATTTCACCAAGTCAAAACATGTAGGAGAAAACAAAATGGGAGAAAATGTTCAGGTTTTACACTTATTTTTTGTAGTAAAGTTTCAAAAGAATAGTTTCCACCACTGGCTCACACATTTACACAGGTACAGTCTTTTTTTTGTTTTGTTTTTAATGGGAGCACCCAAAAAACGTCACATCCTTTTACGCAGAGGGGAAAAACAGAGCAACTGCTACCATGCTGAGGAGCAGCTGTGTGTTTTTTTTGCAAGTCAAATGAACTTAAAAACCCAGAGTTTGAGGGTGCTTTTCAACCAGGACCCTACTTTTCATTGTTTTTGTATCCAAGTGACTATTGGGAACACTTTTTAAAAATAGTGAAGTATTGAGTGAGAGCAGCAGCCAGGCTGAATTGCAAACACTTAGGGGGTGTTTGCACTGTCACTTTACATCCACTAAAAGTGTTTGTTTTTGCCCCTGAGACGCTCAGATCTTTATTGTGAGTGTCTGACAACATTATGGAAAGGATCTCTACAGAGACAGCCCTTTATTTATAGAGTAAGATCCTTTTTGCTCAACCAGAAACCAGCCCCAATATCGCTATCAGCAAACTCACCAGGCTCCATTTGAAAAAGCAGTAATTTTGTCCTTGTAAAACACACTTGATTCAAGACAGAAACAAAAAACAAAACAAAAACATCTCTTTGTCTTTCCACCGTTTCAACAGTTATCAACTCTGGTACAGCTGAAATAAATTCTTAATTCACCCAGTTAGATGTGAAACTATGCTGGTTTTATACACGCTAAAATTGCTGTTTATTTAAATGGAGTCTGGTGGAATTAGTGATGGCAATTTCTGGGCTGTCTCTGGTTTAACAAAAAAGATCTAACACTTTATCTAAACTGTGTTAGATTGTTTGTTTAGGTCTCACTTATTAAAAATAATATTAACTTTCTCACTATCTGTGTGTATAAACCCATCAGTCCCAATCTGCATGATCACATATATTCAGTAGTTTACCAACCTTGTGCATGATGATTTTGCGCTGAGCAGGTTCTGCCATGTCAATCATTCTTTGGACAACGTAGTTGGCGTACTGGTCCTTCATCATGGTGTACAGGGCGCTGTGGGGCCCGTCTTTCTGGCAGCACACTTCATCTATCAGCAGAGCTCTCTCTGCACGCGAGGAGTGGATCACACACTTCTCCACGACATTACTGAAGGAAAAACACAGAGAGAAGCTTCTGTTATGCTCACATTTATAATTGAGCTGAAGGAGTTACAGCACGGTTCAGTGACAGTGGATACCTTTTATTTCTACACTGGATTGTCTGAATCAATCTGCTTTTATGTCCATATTTTATTTGTGACACATTATAATGAACAGCTCTCACTGACTTGAACATTTCTGCTGTCTGTGTGGTTGAATCAAGCTCTATGGATGGCGATCTCTTCCCTCTGTGCGATGAGACACTACCTGTTCTGCTTTGGATCACCATAAGGATCAGTGCAGGCAGCCTGACCTACCATTAAGGGAGCATCCCATAATCATAACCAAACACACCATCAGGCTGTGTTCTGTCATAGCTGAATGCTGGTGTTTCATGCAGCACTGTTAAAATTTTTTCTTTGTTTTGGAACATGATTGTCTAGCAGATCATTACAGACTCATAGCTGTCAGTGAGCTGTGACTGAAGACAAAAATAAAACTCAGTAATTTACAGACATTAAAATCACATTCATCTTTTATTAATGGAGATAATAAAATTACTTTTATATTGATTTGGCTGCTGCACTGTGCTCAATTAAATTTAACTACTGGTTTATGACGTATTTGAGGTCAGACAGTGAACAGTTGAATACTTTAGGCCCTTTTGGACTGCAGGAACTTTACCCAGGAACTAGAGTCCTTTTGACAAACTCACTGCATTTCCACTGCAGGGATCAGGGTCTAAATTAAGTTCTGGAGGTATTAGTTCAACCAAAAGGTCCTTGACTGGGAGGTAGTACAACCCAAAAGTACAGGAACTTTGGGGCTGGGGCTTAGGCAGAATTTATACTTCTGCACTGAATAGATGTAGTAGCTACGCTGAGGCTCTGCGTCCACATGGAGCCTACGCCGTTACCTCACATGCACCTCCCTAGAAATGTAACTACACGTTGCGGCCTGTCTGTTTTCGTAAGCTGAAACCATTTACCATTTACTTTGATTTCACAGGTAAGAAACAATAAATTGTGAAGACAGTAAAGCCTCCACTAAAATTGCATTTAAGTCTTGTGTGTGTGACTTGTTGTCCCTGGCTTCATATGAGAGGAGGAAAAGTCTGCTAGCCGCTAGGCTAATTTATACAATGTAAAATGCCATAGGCTTGTGCTAAAAACATTAGCATGTTGTCTTTATCTGGACAATTTTCCCCACAAATACAAGTGTTTGTCTGTGAATGCTGTGAGTTATAGTGAAGCTGATTTGTGTACTTGTGTTTGAAACTGTCTCTATTAAGGCTACGGCATATGGTTTGCAGCACGAGTATAACAGCAAAGATTCGAAGGGACAGCATCAACCACCATTTTTTCAATATCTAGGCTGAAGAATGTTCCTTGAAAAGTAGTTCCTTGGACTGAAAATCCTGCTTAACTTTTGGTGGAACAGCTTTTGTCAGCATCAGGTAGATCTCAGTGATGTCTTCGTCTCTGTCGCTGCATTAAAACATAGCTTACCTTGCAAATTTGTGTTGGCTGAGGACAAGAACTTTGCCGCGGACCTCTGCGACTATCTTGCTCTTATCTTCCGGTCTGCCATGCTCCAAAACATGCTGAATGACGTAGTTTCCGTATTGATCCTGCACGAAGACAGTGGAAATATTAACTCGAGATCATTTGAACACTGATCAAATCACAAAAAGGATCCGTGCGACACCCTTTACTCTGATCGATTCTCATGCACTACTTTTCACCATTGGTCTTAATTGGTGTGAGATAATCATGCATCTCTACAATGATAGGTAGACGAATGAGTGACACCCCCATTTGTTGTCTTACAAATACCCTTACGTCATCACTGCGGAAGGTCAGACAAAACAGATGCTGCTGGTTTGGAGTGTTGGCGACCAGGCAACACAACCAATAGCATCTTTGCCCCTTCAGAAATGGGTGATAGACAGTTATGGGTGTAATTTTAGTGTGACAAGATGGAGACAGGAACTCACCTGACCAAGCAACAAATTAACATCACTCTGATCTTGTTAACATAGTAACTTGTTGGGTTGGTAACGTGACCTCCACCTTTAATTTGGTAGTATTTGCCTTCAAATCCATTTCCTGTCAATCTGTTTTAACATGAACCTGAACGTGAACTTTGCTCCTGGACTTGACTAGAAGCCAAGCACTCAAGATGATTTAAGCAATACTTGTGAACATTTTAGTTTCAAACTCTTGGGGAGCTTCTAGAAAACAATTACAATGAAATCAAGAAGATGAAAACAGAAAAACAGATTGATCAGGAGATGCTGTAGGCAAAAGAGAGGAATCATCAGACAGCAGGGAAGCATGTGCCATGTGAATCCTCTGTGACATAAAGCAAAAGGGGGGGAAAAGGCGAGAAAGAAGCGGCTCAGTGGGTTAGGAGAAGAGGCCTGTAGTCGGAAACTTGGAGTTTGAGATCTATCTAAAATGTTAAATTAGATTCTTTACAAAAGAAAAGATTAAAAAAAGGGAAAGAGGAAGGGAGCACGGGGACATCCGCGAGAGAGAGGCAAATTGCTCTGACCTTGAACAGTGCATCGCGGGACACTGTATAATATGTTTTGGGTGTCATCTCCAATGATACGCCTTGATATTTCTAGATGGAATAAGTGAGGGGGCAGGGTGGATGTTTCAATAATCACATAGGTCAGATGTAATGACAGCTAACAGTATAAATACAGTCATCCTTTACACTTTACACTTAGCAGACCACAACTACAGAGGAACAATGACAAGCTGAAAATATGAAATGCTCAAATATGAAGGAGACATGCAAATACACAAGACAAGCACACGTCTCAACAACAATGGTCCATCACATCTAACAAACATAAACATCTGTAATCAACATAGGCATAGAAATAAAGACAGATTGGAGACAGATGTGCTCACCTGGCCCAGCTGTTCAGAGTGCTGATGCAGCTCTTCCAGGATGGGCAGAGTCTGCTCCTGGGTGCAGTGCTCCAAAATCCTTTGGATGACTCTGCAGCCATAGGGGTGTGTGGAGAGCACAAACACCTGCGGAGGGAGGTAAAAACAAGAGCTAATCGATAAACAGGTAATTTCACAAAAAAACATATAGCATCACTATTAAGGCCCTGATCACACAGAAAGCATTTAAGCAGCTGGAGGTGCCTGGTTGTAATTGTTTTTAATGAGGATGGAGCTTTTTGCTGGCTGTTTTGGTATTGCGATGCCTGGCGTTTCTGTGCTCTAGGCGCCTGGTGTTTTTGCCAGAGTGCTCTGAACTCCTGGAATTGAAATAAGTTCGACTCAGAGTGGAAAAAGCCCCACGTCAACTCTTATCCCATTGTCCAATTGGATGATCTGAGAGCTGGGCCTTCTGTGGTGGTCATGACAACAAGTTTACAATTGGTAAACAATGGAGGAGAAACTGGTGGTAGCGGTTGCTGGATACCCAGAGCTATTCGGTGCGATGATAGACAGCAGGTTGTCAAACTGCCTCTGAGTCACCCTAAAATATGCCTGGAGATGTCCATCATAGAGGCGAAGCTCCTGGACCAACTGGTGGTACTCCCCATGATCCACCCTCTTTTTTAGGGTCTCATGTACCCACACAGATTTCTGTTTATCTGTACCAAACAAACTATTTACTGACAGCCTCTCACCCTCAACGGGAGCTACAGCAAGTACCCTCTGCCTCAACATTTAAGGAACTAGATACTTATTACTGTGAAAAAAATGGTAGGTTGATCACACAGGAAGGTTAGTGTAAGGACGTGATGGGGTGGTTGCCTGGCAACAATAAAAAGGTGCAGTGTTTGCAACTTGTAAATGCTTTCTGTGTGATCAGGGTCTAAAGCTGCACTGAGCTGGATAAAAATTTAACACTAAGATGCCTCATTACTCAGCTCCATAGATAAGAGTCAGCATAAGGATAAAAACTATGAGGGCTGGGCATTTGTATATTTGTGATACCTGCACTTGATCCTTTTTGAACACAGATCTAGAAAACAAAAGACCATTTGTATGGTTTTGCTCACAGCCAATCGCTGCAAGCGTTCTTTAATTTAATGTGACATGTGACTGGCCCGCTACCACGGCAGCTACAAACTAAGCCTGGTTAAAGAAAGATGATGTACTGAGGTGCAGATGCAATTGTATGTAGCATTATAGGTTACCTATGCAACAGCTAAACCCAGCTACACAACGAGGCCATGAATGTGAGATTAAATACTAGACAATAGATAATTAACATGCACACATCACTGGACACATCGGTTTGTCCTAGGATGGCAATGACATGACCCACCTGTTTCTGCCTTTGATTGGCTTGCCCTGATATTATTACCCTAACCCTACCCATCTTACTCCTCTTGCCTACAAGTTAACCAACCCAACCAATGAAGGCCAGGGGTACTAGGCAATCAGAGGGAGAGTAGGACAGGTTGTATCTTCACTATCTTAGGAAATACAAACTCACCAGCTGGACAGGGGTGTGATTTACTTAAAGTTATAGTGGAGTTCAGAGCTCTGTGGTCTAATTAGTCAAAATGGCGACTGGCCTTCAGATTTATCCATCACAATGTTTTTATGTTTGATTCTCTACTCTGCAGTAGCACCATCTCTCTTGCATATTACATCTTTGCACATATCTAAAACAATGCAAAGGGTCAAAGCAAATTGGTAACACATGGGTTCATGTACAGGTCTTATAAACATTTCCCACTTCTGTCTCTGACAAAGTCAAGATGTAGATTATGTAAATGACCGGCAGCTGAGTCAGTGCTTACGATAATAAACCCACCTGTCCTTGAAAGGCATCAATGATGAACTGTAGGGCCTGAGGCTGGACACACTCGATACACTTCTGCACCACATGGTTGCCATTCTGGTCCTTCACGCACTTCAACACGTGGCCGTCCAGCTCACGGACAATGTCGCTCTGAGGTGAAGACATAAAGGAACAGGGGCATGATTTTAACAGATGTCACTGTGGTGGATTTGATAATCCATTAAAAACTCTCACAATAAAACAAGGTTAGTGAAAATCATTGTTAAAAGAAGTATAATCTCACTTACAATTACCTGCTGGTCTGAGGAAATGGACTCCAGCGCTTTCTGGATGACCCTGCAGCCATACATCTGCAAGGCCAGGGGCAGGACGTGTCCACGGATACGTGTCGCCAAAGCCAGCTTCTGGTCTGCACTTCCAAACTGCAACCACACAGAACACAACCTCTATTGCACACACGCTACACAAAAAAAGAGCCTTTGATAGTCAACATGAGCGAAATGACACCTAGATCAACTTTAAACAATCCGAACCTCAAAGAACTTTTGGATGACATAGTTTCCAAATACATCAGTCATCAGCTGGTATGCCGCTTGCAAGATTTCTCCAAACACCATCTGCCTCTCAGCTGGGGTCGCCCTCTCGAGCTTCTGCTGGATAAATCTGGACAGACAAGTGACGATAAAAGAAATTTGTCAGACTTTCACTTCCTGCGTTAAACTTTACAGTTAAAATCTCTAAGTAAGAGAGTGCGTCTTATCCACCTGGATCCATGCTGGTCTTGAGAGAACTCCACCATGTGTCCCGGCAGGTCACGCAGTTGGAGGTTTGGGAAGCGGTTGTTCCTGAAGTCTTCCAGTAGGCGACTGCGTCCGGACGGCATGACGTCGGAGCGACTGTAGCGGGGCCGAGACGGAGGGAACAGCTGGCTGCTGGAATTGAAGAGACTGGACGTCCCCCCGGTGCTCCGGTACTTGGCCTCGGCTCCAGGCGCTGCAGAAATGTAACGCCCGCTGCCATTCGTCAGGCCACCTAGGATTACAGAGTGACCAGATACTGCTGTAGTGATGGCGGCAGGTGTCTATAACTGTTAGGTATGTGAAACACTGTGCGCCTGATAATAAAGTGAAATCGAAGAATATAAACTGCAGCAATAAAAAAAAAATTTCCAGGCCGAGTGAATGGGCTTAAAATTAATTTAAGATTTTTATTACTTCCCATGAGTGCAAGGCTTACCTAGGTGAAGGCTGGAAGAAGATCCATGAGAGGAGGGCAGAGAAGGTGGAGGAGTGAGCGGGGAGTGACCCGGTGTGAGGCCGATGGGGCTGGGTGAAGAGGAGTAACCCAGGCTGTTGTAAAAGGGCTGTCCGATGGGAGTTAGGCTGCTCCCGCCGCGTTTGTATAGATCAGAGCTTGCCAACAGGGAGTCCCTGCGAGATACACTGCTACTGGTAGAGCTGGATACTGCAAAATAAATTACAAAACCACTGTGAGAAAACAAACTCCTAAAAGTTAAGTTTCTTTAATCCTCATGTGGCTTGTGGCAAAGTCACTGACCAGAGGAGCCGAAGCCTCCCAGAGCAGAGCCCAGGCCGACGCCGAGGGAGCCGCCAGTACTGCTGAAGCCCAGCGAAGAGCTCTGTGGTGGCGGCGCGGCGGAGGTGTGTGAGAAAAGGGAGCTGCTCTGAGAAGTGTTAGGGACCGAGCCGGAGCCATAAAACGAGCTGGAGGGCAGGCCGCTGCTGGGCGGGGGAGCCTGCTGCTGCTGCGGCTGGGGCTGAGGTTGAGGCATGGAGCGGTACAGCCCGTTGGCTGGAGGACCAGACATGTTGTTGCCCGAGCCAGATGCTGACACTGCAGCTGCTGGTGGAGGGACAGAGGAGAGTGTGAGACAAGGGCGTGGGTTTCATTTCAACACTGGGGGCGGTAAGTATAAAAGATATTTTGAGTTGTCCCTGAGGAAATTGAGTGTCAATCACTTTATGTCCTGCATTCTGGTGAATTTTAATGCCCCAGTTTAGGGTGAAAATGTCTTTAAAACACAAAATACAGGCAGCAGGTGACAATTCAAAATATAACAGAATATAAAGCAGTAAGACTCTCTGGCATCCTGTACTGCATTCAAGTATTTATTCTCCTGTGGATCCACTTTTCTCATTTAATCTTATCTCTGCTGAGTCAGCAGACCTAAGCATGATTTACTCTTCCTTCCTCCTTTGTGACTTTTGTTTGGGGAATTAACCTCATTAAACGTGCATGTGACACCCATTTACATCAATGATAAATTAATTTGATTCATTTAAAAACCCTGGACTTCACTCACTTGTAGAATAGAACAACAGTTAACTGTCTCTGTACCCAATACCTTGACTAGACACCAACAAACAGTGTTATTACTAGGGACAATTCAGATTGCTTATCAGGGTGTCCTATTTAACATCTTCATTATTATTCTTATTAATTGTACTTGTACTCTGACTGGTACTAATTAAGGAGAAGTAATTAGCAGATTACTAGCAGCAGTACACAGTAAGACTAATGACAGGTGGTCTAGTGCCTACCAGCTTGTGCTGCTGCAGGGTTGATGAGGAGAGGGGTCTGGACTAGACGAACTGGCCCACCTAGACCAGTCCGGGCTCCAGGGCCCATCACCAGGGCCCCAGTCTGGTCATAATAGGCTGCAGGGGCCAACACCTGATAACCTGAGAAGATGGAAGATCACAAAAAAAGAGTCAGCAATTATAAATTACTACATATACAAGATTTTTAAAAATATTACTATATGTAGTAACATCTGATATATTGATAAAAGGCACCAAGCAGTGAAGATAAATGTGTTGGGCTGTATGAAATGGTCTACCAACCAGACATCCCTGCGTACGCCAATGCAGGGTTTGCAGCAGCTGCCGCAGCTAGAGATTCCTGCTGACTCTGCTGGCCTTGCCCAGGTGTAAGAGGTCGCTGGTTGGTTCCTGTGCGCATCACCTGGAGGAGAAGGTCAAGGATACCATCAGACCCACAGGCTGCAGACGTACTGAAGCTTTCAGACATGTTCTGCATTTAAAGCAATCTGAATACTGGGTTTCAAGTATTTTTATATATGATATTAAACACTTAGGAATAATGGCAAAAAGCCACAGTTAAAGTCCAGCTAATCTGCTTCATAAGGAGTGGGTTGGTTTGATTTGACTGGATCTGATTGACAGTTGCCTAGCAACACAAACAACCAACCCCACAACTGTCATTACATACTGACTCAAATGTTTCTCATTCTGACATCACCTTTTTCCAGCTGAGCCCCACCCACTTCAAACACGACAGGACAGGAAGACAAATACAGAAAAAAAAAATCTGTCATTTGACAAAACCGTTCTAAATTTAACAGTCATGCGGGCTGTGTACTCTGTACTCAGGGCAAAAGGCTGAATGAGCAGAAGGGTTTTAACGACCTTTTAAGCTTCCAACTGATCACATTTTGCATGTGAGAACCTGCTGTTCACACACATTATTTAACAGCGCACAATTCTCTTTCATAATAAAGACACCTATAAAGTTAACAAAATCTGGGTAACAGCCAGACTATGTATATGAAATCAGATCAGTGTTTCATAAAACAAGTTTAGCAGTTTAACCAGAATTACTTCAGTAAAATCTGGTTTATTTTTCGGTGTCATAAACATGTTTAATAAGTTGGACCCATAGAAACAAAACAAGAGTAGAACGGGCATTCCCATTCGAAGCAACCTTGATAGAGCAGCTACGATTTTAATGCGTACATCTGCCACTGCAACTCTTAGCAGGCTAACTGCTGTGCAAACAAACTGACTTGTTGCAGTAATGGCCAAACGAGCACTGGAGTAGTAATGCTACATTTTCAAATAATCAGTTACTTTTAAAATACCACTGTTACTTTTATTTCTTTTGCTGTCATTAATTTCACATTTGTTGAAACATGATATAACTTCTCCGTGGCCGCCTCCAAAGAATGAGCAATAGCCGCTATGTAGCTGACAGCCAAGAGGCAGAGAGGCCACGAGGAGCAGCAGCACGCAGATCAGCATACTGTTTGCACCTAAATCGCTGAATTAAAGATTTATGACGCCTAAAGCAGTGTAGGTATTTGTTTGAACAGAGGACTACCTAACTAGATGAACTAAGATGTTTTTGGTGAGCTTTTTGTCTTTCAAGGTTAAATAAAGTGTGTTTTATGAAGAGTTAACAAGACAATTAAGGTAACGCAAGTCTTAGTTCGGTTAAAGAGAGAAACTTGGGTTGGTGTTTTTTTTTTCTGTTTCATTAGGAAAAAATGGTGTGAGTGTTCCCAAACGAGTGAGTGTGACACACTTTATGGGCCACTGATAGGTGTTGTCACTGGGGATGCACGATATATATCGGCCGATAATGGGACATTTTTCTAATTATCGGTATTCCAATAATTAACATTATAGCCAATAAATAGCTCTAATAATACAAAGCCATATTTCCTCTTTCCTCCTTAGCCTTTCTTATCCTAGGGTGCGAATAAACTAAAGGTTACACACTTCTTTTTAAATGTATAAAAATGTGAAATGATCAGTTATTGTATGGGTCATCAGCCATGAGAAGCAGGAAATTATCGGTTGGGGGGGACATATCGGTGCATCCCTAGTCGTCACCATAGAAACTCACAACGATCCCCATTTTCTTTTATACTAGTCAAACGACCATGGCAAACACTTCAATGTCCTTATTACTCATTCTGTTTCTATAGTCAGATCCAAGATACGTCCATGTAAACTGGCTAAGCTTCACCTCAGGTTTTAACAGTGTTACAATAAATCTGGCAGACTAACCGTGTTTTCCTCATAGTTCTTCTTTACCACTGCATTGTGAATATCACCTCAAAATGTAATACATTTTACATGCACTGCAAATTGACAAGGGCTGCATTAGTGTTCTTAAAATCTGAGCAAAAAGGTTTTCCAGGCTAAAGGATCCACACAGCATTCCTATCAACACCTGCTTTTAAATGCAGTTAACATTAGATGAGCATCTTTGACACAACGACTCACAATAAATAGCATTTTTACTCTTAGTTTTGTCCTTAAATGTCACTTAAAATAAAGAAAAAGACGCTCAGAAATCTGTCAGTCGAAGGTATTTTAACAGTAGCAGGGTTTTTGTTTAACTGTAATATCTTACTCTTATATAATGTAATATGTGCAGCTCTGTGGCTGTGCACATCATAGTTTTGTCCTTACATGGTCATTTCCTTCACTGTGAAATGATGCAATCAGTGCGTGATGTCCTGAGTGTATTTAAGTCATGAAATAAACCAGACTTGCATTTGTCTGCACACATTAGCTTTGAGATGTGTTTATGAAACAGTTTAAACCTGCTGCAATTTGTCAGTCAAGACAGGCTCTTCACATTCTGTCCTGTTTTTTAAAGCCACCTTCATAAAACACCTCTCAGAGCAAAAGGCACAGCTGGTCCTACCTGTGGTTGGCCTGGCCCTGGTCCCTGATTGGATGCTTGCTGATTAGCTGAGTGATTGGCAGTTGATGCAGCCTGTTGCTGGAAAAGGTTGGCCGGGTACACACCCCAAGGGACACCGTAGTACTGTGGTGGAACCACTGTGGGGCCTGGGGAAACATTTCGATGTTACATGCACATCTTGTACAACTGATGAAGGTAGTATTTTTTAATCTGAACTTTGTACAACAGCATCAAAAATACATCTAAATGAGAGCTTTAACAAACAAGAACACAGGATGAAACTGTGCTATATGATCACCTGCAAGTGTGGCTGCTGCTGCCAGTCCAGCGGCAGTGTAGGGATCGGCTCCAGGGGGGCCAGCATTAATGATGTAAGGGTTTGGCACGAACGCAGGAGCAAGACCAGCTGGGTGATATGAGGAAGCGTATTGTAATTCATGTTTCCATATCAAATCTCATCCAAATGACTATGCAACTGCATAAAAAGATCTCCAGAGACACAAAGTAGTTTAACCATATTACTCTACACACTGCGCTACACACTGAGTAAGACAAACAGTCCCACTTACCGAGATGCTGCTGCTGGGCTGCAGCCAGGGCATATTGTTGTTGCTGAGCTGCAGTGAGTTGTTGAACTGTCAGGGGATTAGATCTCTGGAACAACTGGAAGAAAAACAAACAAAAGGACGGATAACAATCTGTCGAGCAAATGTACAGTTCAATCTCTTGAAAGCTGTGTGGTTTTTTTTTCCTTTTCAACGAACCTGCTGCTGTGAGTTGTAGTCAAACAATCCTACTGGAGTCCCCGAGGAGTCCACCTGAATCTGGTTCCCAGCATAGTCAAACTGGAGTGACTCCACACCGGCTTGCTGCTCCATACCTCCCATGTTCTGGGCCTCCTGGTTCTGGAAGTCCTCGGGTGCCTTGTTTTGGGCGGGGTTGTGTTGTTGGAGGACGTGTGGGTGGTGCTGTCCCATCATCTCCAAACCTGTCTGACTGGGACCCATTCTCTCCACGGCCTCAGTGGGGGAAGCTTGGCGACTTCCAGGGGTTGGACTGGGAAGGTAAAGGAGCGCACATGCCATGTTAGTATAAAACTCAGACAGGAAGCCTAGCAACATTAATGACACTATAAGCCTTTACAATTATATACAGTCACTCATGTGGACAAATGAATTATGTAGCAATGCACAAATTTGCCAAAACAGAAGAACTTCAATGTCACCTGTTAAAAAAACTTTTGAAGCTTATGAAATAGGAGATTATCTAAAACAAGAGCTCAATTCAAAACCACCATAGTTATAAAGCATCAAACAATGGGTAGCCATTAGTGCTGGGCAGTGAACCTGTTTACCCTATGTGCTGGTTTTACTTTCCCATTTGCGCTATGGTTGGCCCATGCTGTGTAGAGTGGGAGAAGGGAGCCCTATTAACTGTGTGTACCCTTCCTACTAAAAAGGTAATAACTTCATGACGCAATGATTAATAACGCACAATAAAGCCCCTTTTTGACTGGACAAACATCTAGTTACACCCACTAACATTTGGCTTTTGTATAATATGAGAGAAGTTGCCTCAAAAGTTCGATCAGGAGTGATGAAAATACAACACCTGGTGGGATGCACTAATTTTAGCTCCTTTGCCTGTACGATGTAATGATGAGTTGCCAGAAAATACTGTTTGCCTCCATCCAAGCAGCGCTCAAACATAATTCATAATTTAGTCTGCACCTAGACTTAATAAGGAAGAAGTAACCACCATGCTATTTTCTCTGTGCTAGATGCGGTTTTGTACCATTTACTAAGCCGTTTTCCAGCCCATCTGTGATGTTAAACATGACACACCAGAAAAAGGGGGGAAAAAATCCTCCAAAAGGAATACTTGTCTGCTGTAGTCTCCAGCTAGAGTACATTTAAAAGAGATAGGAGATGGGGGGTGAAGAAAGAGACTGCAGGAACCAGAGGAACTTGTGCCCAAGAGAGGAGCTGCATCTGCTTTTTGGAAGCGTTATTGGTTTTAAAAAAGACCCATAGCTATGTTGCTGGGGTGATAACACTAGAAACTTACTCACTCTTGGATTACCAAGAGTGTATGCAATTATGGTCATCGGTTCATGGTGGTTAACCAGAAGCACTAGTGAAACAGTGAAGCCAGACATTGCTTAAAGCGCCATTTGCTTGAGGCCCTGTGCATATGACAGGAAAAGAAAGTGGTGGAACAACAGCGAGGTTCACGTAATGTAGTAAACAAGCCAAGTTAGCCCTCTGAGCTAATGCATGCCAACTACACTAACAAGGGTTTGGAAATGTGCAACATTATTTAACAACACTAGAAATCAACCAAAAGCCAGAGACGGTATCATATTGAGTTAATGTGAGCTGAAGATTCACTACTTCTAAGCAGAAGGCAGAAAATAACTTTAACTCGGAGCCTGACCGGGCAAAACTTTCCTTTGGGCCACTACCGCCATCTCTCTCTCAGACTCACCCTGGGTGCGTGTCTGCAGTTGCCTGTACCAGACAGCAGAGCAGCGTGAAAGCGAGGAGCGCTCAATGTGCCCAAAAGTACAGTGTCTGACCAAAAAACAAAAACCCTGACTGCTCAACTAGAAGGAATCTCAGTCAAATGAGGGGTCTGTCTGATGATTCAGATCTTTGACTTTTAGGGGCAGCACTACTACCATCTTAAAATATTTTGTTGTGACAAGGAAGCAATGTTAAGGTTGTTATATTTGGTCATACCACCCAGCACTTGCAGCCATTCATCTACTGTTACTGTGAAACGAAAACATACTTGAAATCTTTGCAGTCTCTGTCCATGCCGTTTAGCAGGCCTCTTCCGTTGGCTTTCGCAGGATCATTCTCATCTCCCACCTTCATCTCCGGGCTCTTGTCCTCTTCAAAGGGGGACACTTTCTCTTGGACATCACTTTTCTCTCTCCCATCTTGGTCAACATCTCCTCCACCCTGTATTCATAAAAAAACATTAGATAAGATAATGTGCCACCTTTGAGAAGAAGGGTTTAATCAGCAGGAGACACTCCTCTTTCTGAGCTCAGACTCACATAGCCACCGTTCCTGTAGCGACCATCCATCTTGTCGCCAGGTGAGGAGCTCAGGACGTACTCCACCATGCTCACCCCCAGGCCTCCACCTTCTGAGCGAGGTGAAAGCACAGAATTGGCATCACCATTCCCATGGAAACTCTGGCCTGGTCGCCGCTGCACCATGATTGGCTGAGACACTGAATGATCTGGATGAAGAGCCGTGATCAAATATCTAAATAGTTGTGTACATAAACTATAGCTGGGTAAACACCCAGTCAGATTAAGGCAATACTAGAAGTCATAGTCAGCGGGTGGGGCATGAAGCCAGTTCAAATCATGTAGTTTAACTTGGAATAAATTCTGTTTTTTCAGATCTACTGATAAATCCCATGAGATTACAATACACAAAGATACAGGAGTTACTCACGAGAGGATCCCCATGCATTGTCCCTCCACTCCTCTCCAAGAAGCATCCCTTTCCTTCCATCCTTGGCCAACTCATCAGAATCCCAGAGCTTTTTGGCTGGCAGAAGCTGCAAATAAATTAAACATGGTTTCTGAGCATCTGTAAGATCAGCGCTCGTCTTTGCATGTAATATTTGAAATATGCCACTATCAACAACCACAGCTCATTTAAAAGCTGATGTGTAGTGGTTAGTTTACAGTTCTGATGTTTAACTGTTAGTGTTTACTTTAATCTTGTCTGAGTCATACTCCATCAACAATCTTATCCCTATAGACTTACAGTAGCTCTAAGATTGTAGAATACTCCTTCATGGACAACATCTTATTGCATTTTTTATTATCAAAAAAGTATGTTATGCAGGATTTTCCTTGACAAACAAACAAAAGAACAATATATAGACTTAGGTAGTGACCAGGTAAAGAAGGATTTATACTTCTCCGTCAAATCGACGCCTTACCCTGGGCCATAGTCTGACATGCACCTCCCCAGAAATGGAACTACACGTTGCAGCAAGGCAGACCTCCTGTTTATTTTTGTAAGCTGAAACCATTTCCCTCAGTGAAAACGAAGCGTTATTTACTTTTATTTCACAGATAAGAAACAATATATTGTGAAGACAATAAAGCCTCCACAAAAATACCATTTTAAGTCTTGTGTGTGATTTATCCTGGCTTCATACGAGTATATCTCATCTGGTCGCTAGGCTAATTTATACAATGTAAAATGCCGTGGGCTGGCGCTAATAACGTTAGCATGTTATATTTGTTTGGAAACGTGTTAAGTATAAGACAGTTGTTTTGTCAGTCAAGTGAGTTGTAATAGAGCCGAATTTGTAACATTACCTTTGTTAAATGTTGCTGTTGTCCCTGGCTTCATATGAGAAGAGGAAAAGTCTGCTAGCTGCTAGGCTAATTTATACAATGTAAAATGTCATAGGCTTGTGCTAATAACGTTAGCATGTTATATTTGTGGGGAAAATGTGTCCAGATAGACACGTCCAGAAGTGTTTGTCTGTGAATGCTGCAAGTTACAGTGAAGCCGATTTGTGTACTTATGTTTGAAATTGACTATATCAACCCATGTTTAATGTGAGTTTAATGTGTGTTTTGAATCAACATCACTTTACGGCACTTCACAGAAACCCCGCCGCCGACTAGTGTTTTGGAGGTGTAGCGGCAGAGTTACACAGACACCACCACACAAGTATAAATGCTCACAACGGCGTAGGCTATGTACGTATGCTATGGCGTAGGCTCTGCCTAGAGCTGATGCACAAGTATAAATCCTGCTTAATAGTACCACACAACCAAGAGGAAGCTATGAAACAGCGCCAAAAAAACGCAAATATAGCTAGGGCAAAAGCCAAGGGGATGGCTTTCCCTTTCATTTTCACTGATGAGCACTGAGAAATTGGCCTTTTCTCTGTTGGATATCGAGGTGCCGGTGGTTAGCTTAGTTAGCTTGCTAAAGTTACAGCTTTTCCATTACAACAAACATAATGTTCCTACAATAGAACAGTAGCTTGCAATGTATGTCCATCAGTATAGGGAGGAGGGGCCCAGTTTGAATGTTGTGCTTACAAACAGTAAGTGATGATTCCTGCATAGTATACATTTAATGAATGCAACTACAATAAATTCACTCCCCCCTGCACTAGTCTTCTTTGCCACTGCCCATGTGTATGCTCAGTTGCAAAATATGGCTATATGCACTACTTCTGTCTCAAACATACAACCCTGTCAACCATGCATGCATGAGTGTGAGCTGGTTTGATCACAAAAACTGCTCTGTCCTTGCTTGATCTGATCTATTAAAAGAACACATAACAGATATCTTACTGCTATCTTTTCACCCTAGGCAGGGTGAGTGTTTCATACAGACTTGATTTATTGATGTGCTGCAATGGAGAAAAAGAGTGACCTTACCTCTCCCATGCCCCTCGACTCCAAAGCAAGAGCTTGGAAGTCATAGTTCATTTCATCCACAGCACGGACCTGAGACAAAGGAGGAAAAAAGTGGACTGTAAAGAGAAAGCTAAGAGCACTAAATGGAAGACCACAAAAATATAGAGCATGAAAAATATTACATTCCTTCTGTTCACTGCAGAGCAGAAAAACTATCCCATGTTTTCTTTGATTTTTGTTCAATTTTACCCCAAAAATAGTTTGGTTCTGCAAAATAAATAAGGCCAAACACATTATTTCAGCAGGCCCCTCAGCAGACAAAAGCCTGTTCAGCACAGAGCCATTCAAACATGAAGTATCTAAATCAACACAATACAATCAACATTTCTATTGGGAAGAGAAAGTAAGAAACCCCACGATCAACACCAGTTTTCCTATGAAATGCGTAATCCAAATTTGCGATTCATAAGTTATCCTAATCACCAAATTACATCTTAGTCAAGAATGATTTTCATGCAATGGATGAGTCATTGTTCATTTTGTGCGCTAAGGCTGATTGTGCTGGAACTAATTTTGATGTCAGAGGGTCACAAGCACATGAAAGATTATAATCACAGCACTATGACATTACATTAAAGGCCACAACGAACAGTGGTGCCGACCTATTTTCTTTTCACTCTGGCCCCCTCCTTGACTGTGTTAGCATGTGAAAAGTCTGGGTGTCCAATACAAATCACCCTGGTGTGCCCAAGGATCTTTTGTTATCTCATATTTAGTTATATCCCATGCCTAATCCCATGTACGTAAGCAAGGAGATCTGTTCAATAAAGGTCTCAGACATGTTTAAGATATGAGGACCAAATATACAAACTGAACAAGGATTTACTAACTCAAAAATAGTGTTTCTACACCCTCTGGAGCATTATTTGACAATACTGCTCTGCAGAAAGTAGTGTATTTCTACCATGATGGCAAGAAAAACTAACAAAAGGAAGACAGACAGCTACTATAATCCTAAAGTGTTGGTCTTCCCCTTAAGAAAGATTCGAAGAAAGTCAAGGTGTGTTGAGTACAGGTTCCTCCACCTTCCAAAAGCACTCAGAAACTGAAGTAAACCAACAGGAAGAAGTCTGGATACATTTCTGAAAAGCCAAAAGCTTGCATGATAGGCAGCTCACAGGACAGCAGCTTACAGCACGGCTTTACAGTGGCTAAAGTAAGAAAATTTCGGTTTCAACTGTAAAGAGAAGACTTTTGGTTTGACACAGCAAGAGTATGTACAAAGTCAACGCAAAGAGGCAAATTTACATTAGGCGACAACTGATGTGCAAGACACTGTGTCAAGAAAGCATCCCGACATCGATTTATTTTTTTAATAAAAAAAATTTAGGTTTTCTGAGTCTTTTGACCAGTAGTGTATGTAGAAGAGACAAGGCCACTAAGACCAGTCTGATCTGCTGAGAGCTCAATATACCTACATAAAAGCCATATCAAAAATAATTTTGATGCCAATATTTCCTGATTTTCCTTCTTTACAATTTCCAACATCACTGCAGGTCTAGAACACAGTAGGTGCTACCAGTAAGAAGATAAAATCTAATACAATAAGTCCAGTTTGTGAAACAAATCCATAAGTCTGAAGATCTTTCAGATATCAGAACAATGCAAGGCAGTTTAAGACCATAAGACAGGATATTACAAGTCTGGCTGGTTATCACAGCGACTGTCAGACTCCTGCTGGGCCAAAGCACTCGTCTCACACGATTTGTCTGCTGCAAATGAGGAGGCTGCATTTTTTTTTTTTTTTTAGAAAGCACTGCTACTGCCAGCTTAACGCACCTGGGTGTATGTGTAAGAGACTGGTGGTCTGGTGTCAACCAGTGTGTGCTGGGATAACCAAATTCATAAAGCGGATGGACCCAGAACTGGAATGGGTTTGCCATTACGAAGGATTTGTTGATTAGGTTACTTTTGTTTGGAGTGAAGAGGCTGATGTAAGTTTAAATGAATTACTGGCATCAACAAATAAAGCACCAACTTAGCTGTAGCAAATGTTTTCCATTTTCTGGATTTTTATTTTCCATTTCATCAAGTGAAACTTAAATGTATCTAAATTAATTCACTTAAAGAGTTTAATTATTTTGGCATGTTACGGTTGCTGCCTTTTCTCAGCTGGTCAACAACCACTGGGTATCAGGGAGACAAAAATATAGCTATGACGAGCACTATTACCATTTTGTTTCTTTAATTATTTTTACACATTGTGCTCTCATTAAGAGCCTGATTTTAAAAATGTAAATGCTCACCAACCTACAATTTCACCTCAGATTAGTCCTTGTTTTTAAATCAGGAAATCTTACACACACAGTTAACTATGAGATTAATTTGTCAGTGTATTTACAGACATTTCAGTTAAGTCCTTATACTGCCGCAACCCACAGCATTAAGCTCTACTAATCAGCCACTGAAATTTCTTGTGTGTTCAAACTTTAATAAAACATAGCTGGAAGAAATGGTTATTGATGAATGGCTGGCACCTGGTGTAAATTGTCACAGATTAACTGAGCATGTGGAATGTGACCAAGTGTCCGTGGTGACTAACAGGGTCTTATTGTTTGGGCTGCACATCACATTATGCCTCCAACCGCAAACTATGACACAGCAAGACGCTACAGCCCATTACCAATAGAAATTATTTAAAATTCAAGTTCTTTAATTTAGTTTTACACAGATTTGGTTCATTTGTTGCTTTCTGGGGTTGGTTAATGGGTACTGTTCTGCATTGTGAAAGGGGGAATGTTTTGAAAAAGGTCCAGTAAGAATCACCAATCGACAATTGTGTTTGTTGTTTTGTTTTTTAACAGTGAGAGGTATAGGTGAAATTAACAACCTCTCCCCCACCATACCACTCTGCAAAGTAAAATACAACAGGTTAAATTACTGATAAACTATCCAATGAAACTTGTAGCTTTAGCTGATACAAAACACTGCCATCTATCCCTCTAACTTGCACTACATTCAATAAAGTTACAATGACCGGGGAACCTTTACCTGATCAACATGATTGGCATCACCGGTCGGCCAGCGATGCTTGCTGGGTGTGCAACCTCCGAGCTGCTCTCCAGGCTGCCTCTGAAAGAAGTATCCGACTGTGGCGTCATCCTGAGATCGTCCGCTCAGCGGTGGCTGCGGAGTACCTGGGGTGGGGTTAACAACCCTGTCCATGCCCTGTAAATGTGGGACTCCCGGAGCCTGTCCAGCTCCCCCAACTGTGGTTAGGGGTCCGCCACCGTGAACTCTGACACCTCCAGTCTCAGGAGCGCCATTTGCATGCAGCATCCCACCTCTTGTCTCCTGCCAGGCCACGTCATTCATACCTAGGATGCTGCATGGAATGCTCATTCCACGGGAAAGCCTGCACAAAACACAAAATATGAGTATTATGACATGCATATGTTGTCATGTTACATCATCCTTTTATTGTAATGTTCTGCATAATAATACAACTGCCTTCTAGTCTACCAGAGCGACTGCCTGACACAAATAAGTCAGATATATATTTACAATTACAACTATGTATATTCATATAAAGTGAATGTAGCACCCATTTTAAACATGACAGTTAGGTTCCTGTCCTCTGGTTGGCTGTTAGGTAACGAAAACTGAAAGTTACAACATGTGGTCTTTATCCTGACTCTTATGTAAGCTTTGACATAAACGTTTGAAATAGAGTTCAGGAAAAAGATGCACTTAAAAGAATACGACATGAATAACAAGTACAACTTAAATTTTCTTCGCCGGGACCAGACTAATTCCCGAGTTGCTAGCTTCACATCATGGCTGTTATGCGTCTGAAGATTGAGATATTAGTTAACGATGCCTTGAATATCTAAATTTAGTTAAATGGCTTGCGCAACATCAGTGTAAGTTAAACTGGCCGTTTGCTTATTTGCGATTGGGCAGTGCAAGAACAAAACACTTGACTGACAAGCATGTTGATAGCTTGCAAGACCGAGAATGCTAGGTAACGTGTTGTCGTTAGCCTAGTGTTAGCTAGCGATCGCGGCTAACGCCGCTAATGTACCACTAATGTAACGTTTATTAATGATTTAAACGACACTCGTTTATATCACAAACACTGCTCATTTGTTAGCCACAGTGGAGGTGACGCTTAAATATAACAAGTTACGACGACAAATCCAACATTACAAGTCGATGTTGCACACCGACTGCAAGCATTCTAGCAAGCTGGCTAGCTAGCGTAGCTACCTTGCTAGCAAGTCCGTTGCTAATAAGCAAGCTAACTTAGCGGCTTCGACTGAACAGTTACGTACACAATGCTTTTGAATGGTTTTGAATGGTTAGCTGGTAGCAGTGAGTACAATTGTTGCTTATCATTTGCCTTTAGTAACAGTCAAATCCTTTATTGGTACAAATCAAATATGTTTAGTGTTAGCTTATGTTACTCCACTGCAGTTAGCATTAGCAACCTCCGTAGCTAACAAGCTAACGCTAGCTACAGCGGGCCTGCTCTGTTTATTATTGGTTAGACATCAAAGTTAAATTGGTGAATTTACCATTGTTTCACAGTACGCTAGTGGGCTCCGGTGCTAGTCGTAAAAAACAAGCTATTTCTTAGCCTCGAAACCGACACTGGTTGCATGCAACACGACAAATAAACCCCCCAAAATGGCTAATGTAAGAGCTAGCTAATTGCCAAGTTGGTGTTGTGCGAGCTAAAACATCAACCAAACACTCAGTGGCTAAACAACATGGCCCCCCTTCAAGTTCCAAACAGAGGGGCCTTAACCGCTAAACAAAAGGGGAAATACTCACACCACGGCAGTCGCGTTAAAAAAGCAGACGCTTTGCACAGCTTTTGCTTTCGACGGGGACAAATAAAGAGGAGATACTCACGCGTTGTCGTGTCGAGAGAGGGTCTATGCTTGTTGCACGCCGTCAACCCAATTCTATATTGTTTTGTTTCCTTGGAGAGAGCGGTGATTTAGCAAGGCTTGATAGTCAAAGCTAAGAGTTTGCCTACGCTAGTGCCCCCTCCCTGTAAATAGCGTGAACTACGTAGACATGCGTATAACAATGTCAGTGTAAATTTCCCCAACGCACCTTTTGTACATGTGAAGGCAGCATGTATGTTAATGCGTATTAATGTGTGTCCAACATTTACGCACGTTATATTCCCTTAACGCGCGCTCATATTACAGCTGGATCATATCTTAGTTTGAATGAAAGCTTATTGGATAGTTGATTAAATTTTAAAAACAAGGCTGACTCATAGTATCAAAGGTTAAAACATTATATTGAGCATGGGAAATGGTTTAATGACCCACAATAAAAGTCGCGTAATGCAAAAGATACATGGCGTGATATCATCATGCAGTTAGATTTGGATGGTTTCGGCTGATCCTGGGTCGGGTGGGTCCTCGTGGTCCATGACCCTCCTCTACATAAGGAAACCCGATGAGATCCAATCACCTTCTCCTTTCCAAGCTGTGATCTCACCTCCCTATTTCCGATTGGATTGCTATATTTAGGAAACCACCCTATGCTTTATAAAGAGATCGCAGTGGTTACTGGTAAATTTCTGGAGTTGCGAGACGGGAGCGGCTTACGGGACGAGGCTCATTGAGAGTACAAAAGCCGAGGGGACATATGTGTTTTTGATGCCACATTCACGCGACAGCTAGGAGAGAGAAACGCGCAGTAGGAATGGCTGACATAAGGAAGAAACTTGTCGTGGTGGGCGACGGCGCATGTGGGAAAACATGTCTCCTGATCGTGTTCAGCAAAGACGAGTTCCCCGAGGTGTATGTCCCCACTGTGTTTGAGACATACGTGGCGGACATAGAGGTGGACAACAAGCAAGTCCAGCTGGCTCTGTGGGACACAGCCGGACAGGAGGACTACGACCGGCTGCGCCCTCTCTCCTATCCGGACACCGATGTCATTCTGATGTGCTTCTCCGTGGACAGCCCGGACTCCTTGGAAAACATCCCCGAAAAGTGGGTGCCTGAAGTCAAACACTTTTGTCCCAATGTTCCTATTATACTAGTGGCCAACAAGAAAGATCTGCGCAACGACGAGAACGTAAAGAACGAGCTGTCCCGGTTGAAGCTGGAGCCAGTGAAGGCAGAAGATGGCCGGGCCATGGCCATGCGCATTGGCGCATATGACTATTTGGAGTGCTCTGCCAAAACCAAGGAGGGGATCTGGGAGGTATTCGAGACTGCAACACGGGCAGCTTTACAGAAACGGAAAACACCGTCAGGGAGCTGTCTCAAATGCTGTGTTTTGATGTGAAACGACGCTGATTGATTGTCTGGAGAGCCGTGACGCGCAGACGTGACGCTTCCCACCGTTGCTGGGATCTGTGTCTGAACATGCACGGGCAGTGGCCATGGTTTGGATACTCCCATGTAACCAGGCGACCTTGATTCAACCAAAACCAATGACTGCATACAAGTTGTTTTGAACACACTTGATGAACATCTGATATCGGGGCGTGTGTGTGTTTGTGTGAAATGCACTGGTTACAGCATGTTCTTTGTGGGGTCACATGATCCCAGTCTGACAGGTGGAGGGGAGGAGGGAGGACAAACTACATGTCAGTGGACGCCTTATTTACCCACCCTTCTAATCTAACGTGGACATGTCCTTTCCCAAAGGCCTGCTTTAGAGCCACGGTTTCAATTGCTCACTTTTTTGTGTGTGTGTGTGTGTGTTTCAAAGTGTTTGCATAGGCCACTGCCTTACTGCCAAGGTTACAGGCTACTTTGTTATAATCAAAGCAGTTAAAAAGTTGCACTCGTTATTAATGCCCTCTTTGTATTGTAACATGACTGTATATAGTTTATGATATTGCACAGCATCTGGACACTACAGTCAGTCACAGAGAGTTTTATAAGAAGTACGATGAGGTTCGGTGCAAGGGATGCACATGGTGTTCTGTGTAGTTTCCTCTGGTGTGTTACGCCATTTTGAATTAAAACATGGCTTCAGTTCACAGTTAAAGAAATCAGTTGTCTCAGGTTTGTTAGTTGGAACCACATCTAAAAAGTATGTTAAATGCCTGGTTTGGTTGTTTTTACGCAACAGGCCAAACACCATCTAAGGTCTGAGAGATGACACACTGGCCGGCCTTGAAAAGGGCTGAACATATTGTCCTGTGTAGTTTAGCACGTCTTTGTTTTACAGTCAAATGTACAAAGGTTCACAAGACACGTATTAAGTTTGCTGAGCATGCTTCTACCCCGTGTTATGCTTTGCTGGCGGCTACAGTGACTCCATTTTGGAGGAAACTCACAAAAGAGGTGCTTTTTTAATGTAAAACAAGGACAGAAGTCACACAGCCTGTAAATAGTACAGCCAGCAAAGGCCGATGGGGTCCTTACAGCTCACCTGAACCAAATCATTTGAAGCACATACAGTATCTCACCAAGAAATCTAGACCTTGCTGTGTCTCACAGGCTGGCATTTCCTGTTTGACATTTTCCCATTTAGCCACACATTCATTATACGGTTATGTGGGTGTTATTTCCAAGGGAAGATGGAGCATGTGAGATGGGGTTAGCATGTGAGAGTGAAACAGTTTCTTAGAAAGTGACATGAAAAGAAGAGCAGGCTGTGTTGGAGCTCTGTGAGTCAGCAGCACACGCTTATATGGGGTTATGGGAGAGTGTGGCAATTAGAAAAACCTTTTATGGAATTTTATCAAGTGTTATTGAAACCACAATCTGTACACAGACATAAAATGGTATCTTTTTTGGCTTCAAATGTAAAGTTTTCTGACACTGTAAAAAGTTTGTTTCACGATTGGTTGAGAAACAAACTTTCCATCTTGATGTCTTCCATCATGACTTTGAATGTACCTCAGATTTATTTGATTAAAAAGTATTGTTGGAGCTTTGAAGTGAATACGCTAAATCAATATATTGAGCAAATTTTCCGTACTTATGTAATGAATTCAGCTTGTTTGGCATGTCTCCACAAAGTGTTTCTTTCTTCATAGTGGGAGTGCGTGTTAAAATGACAGCTATGAACATCAATTACAGAGGGTGTTGTAACACTGGGAATCCAGGGGGGGTGGATTCACTATGTGAGTCTTTCTTTTAGTGACAAAAAAGAAGCTTGTTTTAGCTTTAAACATGTATTTTTTTCTGTGGTTCATTAAACAACTACAGTGAGACTAAATCAGAGTCTAACAGGAGTATGTTTTATAAATCCCAGCAGAGTTACAACGGTGTAAAAGTCACATTCCTCCCTGCCTTCTGTTGCTGGGCTTTTTGCTGACTTACAGGACAGGAATGCATTGTGCTGGACTGGTTAATTTTCCCACACTGGCCCCCCTCATGTGCCTCTGATTTTCAATGTTGTTAGGTTATTATTCACTGATCAGACAGAGCAGAGCCACTTTGTCCTTACTTTACTTTCCTTTTTGAAGAATGAAACTGTGGAACCACGCAGATGAAAATTGCTGAAAAAATGTGCCAAACATATGTTCCTAAGAGTTGATCAAATTACGACTGCGTTAATGTAGTGACGCAACGTCTAGGTTTCGAATGGAACAATGGAATTTTTTGTGAGGAAGAACAATTCAGAATGTAAGGGAACAAGCGGTGCTGTTTTTGGGCAAAGTCAATAAAAGAATCAATGTGTGTCATCACCTCTAGTTTTCCATTCTTGTGCCTCATTTTCTCTCACTAAGGACAAATACTCAATGTGGTGGTAAAGCTATAATGACATCATCCAGTGTATTTTCTTTTCTGGTTTAGGTAGGAAACATACTTGTACTTTACCTGAGTATCTCCATGTTATGATACTTTATACCAGCACTGTCAAACATACGGCCCAGGGGCCAGAACCGGCCCGCTAAAGGGTCCAATCTGGCCCACTAGATGACTTTGCACACCTGATGTTGATGCACATATGAAGGCTGAGAGGTTTCAGGAAAAAATAAAACAGTGAGAAGATACTTCATGTAAAATGTTGCCACCCTGACTAGAATACAGCTCTCTGACATAATGATGAATTATTTGTGTTGTCAAATTTAAAGATATCGAACAGCGTGCAAAATATTGTCAACCAGCAGCTTCACTACAAAACAATCTGTATCAGACTTCTATCTTAAAACAATATTAGTGGAACCCTGCTGCTGAGGCACTGCCAAAACTTCAGATTGTAAATGGTTTGTAAGGCAGGGGATGACTTCACCTGCTTCTGCAATAGCTTCCACTTTAGTGGAACATTATGAAAAATATGCACACGTAATGAAAATGAGTAGCAGACTGATTGAAAGTGGAAAAACTGAGACATACTGTTGAAATTGCACTCAATTTCTCTTACATACTGCAGGCTGTTCATCATTTGTTCTTTAAATGGATGGACGTTTTCAGAATGGATGTCTTTACACAAAAAAAAAGGGAAAATTAGAAGGGTTGGTATATTTTTAAGGTATTATTCAGTGGTCTTACTTGTCTGGCCCACTTGAGATCAAATTTAAGTTGAGTTAGACACCTCTGCTTTATACTTAAAGTTGTAGCCTGCTTTTTACTCCATTAAGTCATCTGACAGATCGTTAGTAGGTCATTTGCTGATTATTATTTTACATAGCAGTATAGAAAACTTGATGAGCCTATAAAATAAAATGTGATGCATGGTTGTAGGGGAGACCAGGGTTAGTTGGCATGCGGCTATTATCTGGTCCTTTGAAGGTCACAGAAACAAACATGCAACATAAAGATGTTTGCTTTCTTCACCTGCTCTCATCTACTATTTTAAACTTTCTAACTTTTTGGTGAGGGTAAATGTATCTTAAAACTGTGTTAGAGATATTGAAGTGTTATTTCTGGTTAACAGACCAAAGGAATCAGATACATTTTGAAATAAGATTTGAAAGTCTCTGATGAGTGAATGTAGCTGGCTAACATCATTTTATCACCAATATCGTTGTCAAATATGAGAAGGGTTGTTTGGTACACTGATTCTGGGGTTCCCAAATTAGCAAATGTAACTCTAACTGTATTATGAGAAATTAAAAGCAGTGGTTCCCAACTGGTGGGTTGTGGGTCCATTCTGAATGGACTGCAAGTGACTGGTAAATGTGTCAAGTTTGTAAAAAACACACTTTATTTTGAGGTACAGTGAATATCTGGCACAGAGTTTTTATTTTGAAGTGCCGTTTCCTGCTGTAGAGTGAGTGTCTAACAGACAGCTACTTAACAGAGACAGTAAACTAGCTCAATGGCAAGGCGAGTATGATGCTGAATATATTTACCTGTGAGGATCTTGAATTAATGACTAAGGAGAAATCTGGGCCCTATGGCTGGACCAGTTGGGAACCACTGGATTAAAAACATTGTTTATATCATTATTTTTTTTATTATTAATCTTTATAGTCAGTGGTAAAAGTAATTAAAAATTCCTACTGATTAATTGCTTAAAATTGTTTTTTAAAATGGGCAGATATTAAATTAAATGTTCATCTTTTCTGGTTCTTGTTAGGGTCCGGGCAGCTAAGCTGCCAGGACACTATTGTAATCCTAGGTATTCTTCTTCTTCTTCTTCTTCTTCTTCTTCTTCTTCTTCCGAGGAAATCATACTTCCCATGGGTGAAAACTCACCAAACTTTGCACAAAGGTCCAGTCTCATGCCAGATATCCTCAGCTGTAAACTCAAGCCAATAGTCCTGATGGTGGCGCTACAGCAAGCGTCTAAAGTTCAAAACTTTGAAAATTCATAACAAATCAACCATACGTGCTACAACTTCACAACTTTCATCAAACTGTAGCCCCAGTACTAAAGAAACTTTTGTACACTTAAACCTATAAAAAATTATTAAGTTCATCACTCTGTTTTTTTTTTCAAAAACTGTAAAACTTCTTAAACCTATCTCCTCCCACAATTTTTGCTCAATTGACACCAAACTTGCTACAGCATCTTCAGACTGTCCTACAAAAACTGCGTTTCTCAGATTTTTGATTTATCAAAAATTGAGCCTACAGTGCATCAAAATGTTTGACTGTAAAATTCTAGAGTCATGGTAGATGATGTGTGGCAAATTTTAGAATTTTATCTCAGAAACTGAATTTTTGACAGCATTTTGAATTTTGCTCTAATGTGAACAATTGGAGTCAATGTAAAAATGGCAATTTTAAACATCAGGTTTTCACTTATGGAGCAAATCAATCATTGTTACAAACAAATTACCAACATCTCCATGCTGTCTAGATGCAATATGTGTATTTTCAGATTTTTGTCTTAATAACTGAATTTTTTACAGTGGTTTCAAATCTGCTTTTCCATGCACAGATGGCTGCTTTCCTACACAACAGTGAATGGCTTACTCAATTTGTGAAGCCACTGTTGAGTTGCTACTTGCCAATTAGCTCAGAGCGGTAGATGACCGTCTTAGGTTCCAGAGGTTGGGGGTTCAAGCCTCAACTGGTGCAGAATTCACATTGTAAACATTTTCTTGTGCTCCAGCTTAGTGCTTAAAATTGCCTGAGCGTGACTGATCACTGTGCAGCATCTTCAAGTCTTTTTTCTGCTAGAAAATCTGCCTTCTCATTGCTTGAAAATAAACCAAACTTTGCACAAAGATCAAGTGTCAATACTTCAGTGTGAAACCATCTGAGGCTTCTCACTTTGCACATAGCTCAACTAGTTAAACATCAGTTTTTCACTTATGAAGCAAATCAATCATTGTTAAAATAAATGACCAACATCTCCATGCTGTCTAGATGCAGTATGTGTATTTTCAGATTTTTGTTTCGATAACTGATATTTTTACAGTGGTTTGAAATCTGCTTTTCCATGCATGGACAGCTGCTAAACCTGCACGTCTGGCTTAGTCAATTTGTGAAGCTACACATGAATTGTCACTGACTAATTAGCTCAGTGAGATAGAAATTGATTCTTAGTCTCAGAGGTTGTGCTTTCAAGCCTCAGCTGATGCAAAAGGCAGATTGTGTTGCTAAATTCCTAAATGTCTTCCCATTCTTCTGCTTGTTGCTCAGAATTGCCTAAAAATGCCCGGACCCGACCCATCGCTGCGCAACAGCTATAATTTATATCATTATTTTTTATTATTAATCTTTATAGTCAGTGGCAAAAGTAATTAAAAATTCCTACTGATTAATTGCTTAAATTGTTTTTTAAATGGGCATATATTAAATTAAATGTTCATTTTTTTCTGGTTCTTGTTTGAATTAAATTTTCAAATTATTTCTATTGGTTGTTTCATTTTATTTTATTTTTTTTGTAGCTATGTTATAACACTGTGACAGCCAACCTCGGGATGGGGCTGATTGGCACAAATACACATTACTTTAATCCCGAACCACCTAATTTTAGAAAGCATCTGTGTACATTAAAACATATTTATTCACAGCTGAGACCCTAACCTTTCAGTAGTAGCTCAGAACAGCTCAGCTCCAGCAAACTACAACATTAAAACACTACTTTATTCTCCTCTATTATGAGTTCTGTTATGAGTTATTTGCTTTTGATACTTCCCATACATTTTACCTCTGTATGTTTACATGAATAAGATTTGTAATGGAGTATTTATATACTATTGTATTGCCACTTTTGCTTAAGGATGTGAACACATTGCTTCTGATTACACATAGCCAACAGCCATTATGGGGAGTATTAGTTCATGTTTTCCAACTGGTGAATACATTTTACTTTACTTTCTTTTTAATAATGTTCACAATAGCTGTCAGACTGACTCATTTCTTCTCATTGTTTTGTGATAAGAGGGTTTGTGTGTCACAGGAAGCTATTTGCGTCTCTGCTAAATTTAGACCACAGGGTACAAATGACTGTGACAGCAGTGTAGTGATCTTTTTAAAATTTTGTCATACTGTGACATATTGTGCATGTTGTTTTTTAATGACTTGCTACTAAATATATTTGTGAGTTTGAGGGGAGCAGGTTTGACTCAAAGTGAAATGCTTCACGACCATTTAAAATGCTGATTTATGCTTCAGGAGGAAATTTTACCAGCGCACACTTTTACTTTTATAAGTTTGCCAAGAAGTTAGATTTAAATATAAAAAACAATCATATAAGAAATGCACAGAGATGTTCAGTATGCAGTACAAACTGTCTTTATTGAAGGGCACATATTTTTTAAATAGTACAAGACATAAAGAGAGCACAGCAGCTGTGAATCTACTGTGAAATAATAAACAAAATTACTAATTTCAAACACAGCGTAGAGAGACACGCATCATGGTTACACAACAGATACAGTCAAAGCAAACACTGTAGTATATCCTGGTTAGCTATGGTCACTTAGTTGAGTTTGGCAACAAATGGTAAGGGGATGTCAACTTCCATCTGTCTGTCACCTACTCTCACAAATGGTTCAACAGTTTTGCTTGTCTCCTTCAGTGTTCTAATAACGTTATTGTGGAAAGCATTTAAACGTTTCACCATTACATCAATCCAGGACTGGATGTCAGCTTGAAGCTGGTCAAAGGACATGTCTGCGAAAATGTTCTCAAACCTAGCTTTAACAGCTTTTAGATATTCCACAATAATTTTGCGGGCCTCTTCAACCTGCATGGTAACATCAGCCAGGACCTGAGAGTTGATGGCATCATTGTATACATCATTCACAAAGGTGTAGAGCTTCTCTGCGTTCTGAGATTTAAT